AAAGCCTTATTTCTAATATTTCTCTTGGCTATTGCTTTCCTAGATGTGCATTTTGGAGTAGATATGAATTAGATATTCATATAAATGCAATTTTTGAATGGAAATTAATCTGAAAACTATTCAAAACGGTTGCTTAGTGTGTGCCTTCTCACAGTGAACATATAGTCTCCGGTCTATAAAACCAGAGGTAGTCTGGTTGGTCTTAATGTATTACCTTTCTGTTTTAAAACTATAAAGGAGTTGCTTTATCTGCTTTTCTAGTATGCATGCACTCTCACATTTAATGTTTTTTTTTAATAATCTTTATTCAGTTTTCAAATACAGTTAAAAATATAGCTTTGTAGCGAGAGCTACCAGTAAAAAAGGTATAGAGTATATGTGTGTCAGTTCCCCGAAATGTGAAATGATATAGTGACCAAAAGATAATAGACTAGAAGACAAGAGAGATAGAGAGGTAGCAAGAGATAGAAAAGAGAAGAAGTGTAGCCCAAAAGCCCCGAATAAGACACTAATAAGAAAGAAAGAAAAAAAAAAGATAGATTCTTGCTTTCGACTTCCCGAGGTTTTCTTAGGGTCTTCTCTATCATTCATCCATACCTCCTCCTCTTCTTCTTCCCCTTCTTCTCTCCTCGTCTTCTTTCTCCTCCTCTTCCTTCCCTCCAGCTCTTCTTCAGCTATATCAGGATTTTTTTGTTCCTTTGCTTGAAATAACCCATCACTTTTTCCCAATTTGTCTCCTTCATTTTAATGTTTTTATCCATGTGGTACAACACATTCGAAATTGAGATGTAATAGATAAATGCTATAATGAATCATGTTACTCAAATGTGAGCGTTATGGAAAGTAAAGAGACCTAGTCTCACCTCAGTGCTCCTGAATGAAAAACCTCAAACATTATATGGTTTGTTTGTACTTTGTTGTTGCATGGATAAACGTCAAAAGATCAGCCATCTATGGTGAATCTTCAATTACGGTTCTGGATTGTCAATGTGTTGCCTTTTTATTAGGCAAGTACCATCTCATGCTTCATTAAGATTTTGTTGTGTACCCCCCTGGTAGCACAGCGGGTTAAACCGCTGAACTTGCTGACCGAAAGGTTGGCGATTCAAATCCAGGGAGTGGGATGAGCTTCCGCTGTTAGGCCCAGCTTCTGTCAACCTAGCAGTTCAAAAACATACAAATGTGAGTAGATCAGTAGGTACCGCTTTATCTAAGTATTGATCATCAAACCAGTATGCCCTTGTACTGAGACAAGTTTATTCTTTTATGGCAGATTTTTCAATTTTTAATATTACAAATAGAGAATAGAATATTTCCTAAGAGGGAAACTCAGAAATATCCAGTTTATTGAAATGTAATACACAATAAGATGATTCTTGTAATATTTTAAGGTCTGATCTCATTCGGCACTTTAGCGGCAGCATGTTGTTATAACCTGTCATCTCCAAAACCTTAAATTAGAGTTAAACTTAGTGGTATAAGACTGATCCACAAAGGAGACTGCTAGTAGTTGTTCAGTATGGATTTCTGTAGAGAGAAAATAAGATGGACCTTGTATCCTGAGCAGGTATCTTAAACGCAATTGTTTTACTAGTTTTGTTTTTAAATCATATTGTCTAATAGAGTATACTAATAGAGTTTACATTTAAGGTGCTTAGAACATTTGAAAAAAGTAAAGTGCACAGTCTCTAGTTCATGTAGAGAGTTTTACGGATCTTGGTTCATTTTTCTCTTGAGATTAAAGTATGGAACATCTTTTATATTGTTTAATATGGTAATTTACTTTATCTCCATACTGAATGATAGATGTATAGAATGTAATTTCTTAACCAGATTAACTTCTTTAGAAAGCTGGATTTGACATCCTTTCAATTCAGAGGTTGATGTTTTAAATCATTCTTTTATCTCTTATATTAGATGCATTATAAGTTGCTAAGGTCCATTTAGCACTTACATTTTGTCTTCTGTCTCAAAACGGCAAGGTGCCTGCCTTACTGAAGCATAGTTTAGAGATACATATAGAATCATAGAATCAATGAGTTGGAAGAGACCTCATGGGCCATCCAGTCCAACCCCCTGCCAAGAAGCAGGAACATTGCATTCAAATCACCCCTGACAGATGGACATCCAGCCTCTGTTTAAAAGCTTCCAAAGAAGGAGCCTCCACCACACTCTGGGGCAGAGAAGATATCATTGTTGTTGATGTGTTCCTTCAAGTTGCTTCCGATTTATGGCTACCCTAAGGATAGAGGCAAGATTTGTTCAGAGATCGTTTGCATTTGCCTTTGCCTTCCTCTGGGAAAGAGAGAGTATGATTTACCACCTGCTATTAAAACCTATGCAGCAAGTTACTGCTGATGGAATGGCTGTGGAACTTCCATTGGTGTCTATTAAATAAAGTGAAATGAGGAAAAAATGTAGTACCTTTGTATATGTCATGTTGATTACTTACGTGAGAAGCAAAGTAAGATCATTAATACAGTAGACTCTCAAGTTCAGTGGAACTCAAGGAACCAGAACTCTTAAGCAGTCAGGAAAAAATCAAAGAAATAATATTTTAAATACTGTATATACTCGAGTATAAGCCTAGTTTTTCAGTCCTTTTTTTAGGCTGAAAAAGTCTCCCCTGGCTTATACTCGAGTCAGTGTTATTTATTATTTTACTTTGTTGTTGTTGTTGTTGTTGTTGTTGTTGTTACTATTATTATTATTACATTTATTATTTTATTATTGTTGTTATTGTTACATTTATTATTTCACTCTATTATTATTATTATTATTATTTTACTCTATTTATTATTATTGGAGGACATGTAAGCATATTTACATTGAAGAAGGTTTGAATAATGGTTTAATCAGAGTTGGACAGTCTTATCTTGAATTACAGTTTTATGTAAATATTCAAAACATTTAACCTACTAATGCCTAAATTAATATAATTTTATTGGTATCTATTTTTATTTTGAAATTGACCCATAAATGCTGCATTTCCCACCTTCGGCTTATACTCGAGTCAATACACTTTCCCAGTTTTTTGTGGTAAAATTAGGTGCCTCGGCTTATATTCGGGTCGGCTTATACTCGAGTATATACGGTAAAAAATACAGTAAAACTGTGTTACATTAACTTAAGTTTGTCTTTATTTGCTTTTAATTACTTGTATTTCATTATTATTACCAAATCGAAATAGACATTTTAGTATAGTATAGTATGGGGTATCATATTAATTAACCCTGTTTCTTTATGAGCTCTCCCTTGCAAATAATCTGCTCCTTTGTTTATCTCACCCTGAGTTTTAACATTTTATCTTGCACAATCGGCCCGCTCATTGTCATTGTGATTGTTCATTGCATTTATATGTTTTATGTATATTGCTTATTGTATTCATATGTTTTATGTATTCTACTGTGTTGTTGTTGTGTTTTGGTTTTTATCTTATTGTAATTCTGCTGTTTGGGCTTGGCCTCATGTAAACTGCCCCAAGTCCCTGTTGGGGGAGATGATGCCAGTCTAGACCATGGCGTTCTAGCCCGAAAAAAACCTACAACAACCCAGTGATTCTGGCCATGAAAGCCTTTGACAATACAAAAAAAAAAAGGATAGTTAAAGCAAGAACAGGGAAATTGTAGGACCACTGTAAGGAGGAAATGGTGAAATGCAAACCAGAAATTGAGAAAAGGAAGAATCATTCTTTACCCAGAACTTCTCCCGAAAGGGAAATAGTACCCAAGCTGGGTACAATGAAACAGATGATGCAGATAGATAGATAGATAGATAGATAGATAGATAGATAGATAGATAGATATAATTTTTATTGTAACTCCCAAGCATCCAGAAGCTACATTTATCTGGCATCTTCTATCCCCATGGATGCTGGTTATTTGATAACCATATCTTTGTTTGGATCAAAATACATCTCCGCATCCGTGGCAGTGTTTGTTTTGCTAGATCATTGTGTGAGAAATATAAAGCTAAGTCCAATAACTTATTCAATTTCTGCAAGGAGTTTTATAAGCAGAACCACAAGAAGTCTGAAGGAATCTATTTATGGTTGCATTGTATAAACTCTTGGGCAAGTACTTGTAAAACAGCTATTTTCTTTCTCCTGCCATTCTTCACATCCAGTATCTCTCCGCCATCCTCCAACTATCGGCCATGAAACTGTTCATTATGAGATCATCTCCGATTCTAGGCTTGGATTTCCAGGGCTGTTGTTATCCACCCTGACTTTAAGATAATAAATTCAGAGTACTGTTCTAAACTCTAAGATTAGGTGACTTAAAACATGGAGTAGCACCTACCTTTTCCTGACTCTGCAATAGTAGCAATCTTAAATGGTATATTTATGGGCCTCCGATCAGACTCCCAACAGTCTGCTTCTTCTGGATGTCTCTGCTTCCCCAAGAGTTGGTCATCCCCGCTTGCATTTCCCTGTGTGCTCTCAAAATCTGTTTTGGACAGTTGAAAAATGAACTGAAGCAGCATTTGGATGCTCAGAGGGCTGCCATGGAAAGTAGAAAATGCTCAGTTACACCACTACCAAAGTACATGTTGGATTTTGGCCCTCTCCTAAATACAGTACAGTACATAAAGACAATAGAAAGCTTCTTACTCACTCAAATAATTGAATGCTATACTATAATTTTGTACATTTCTCCCCAAAGAAATATATCAGGTGTTTAGTATATGTTGCTTGCTTTTTTTCTATCTTGATTTGTGAACTAGTTGATCAGATTGTTTATTTATATGATATATTACTTTAAAAGTAACAACCCCTTTTTTGAGCAACCTTTTTTATTATTTGTTGTTTGGATATTCTTATTATGGAAACAAGCTGGTTGATATTTTGCTGCTAATACTAGTTGTAGCTGTCATTACTCATTTTCTTTAGTATAGTATCTCTATCATGTGAATTCAGCATATTCTTAGTATTTATAGGTTGTCATAAGCGATTCACAGATTGTTGATATATATTTTGTTTATATTATTTTGTTTTACAGTCCCAGAAATCTTGGATAGAAAATACTTTCACCAAACGGGAATGTGTGTATATTATACCAAGTTCAAAGGACCCTCACAGGTAAATTCTCATGGATTTCCTTTCAAGAATAAGGTGCAGCACTAACTGGTAGAACTGGCTATCCCATGACCCCTTGTGGCCAGTGTAGACCCCTATACTACCCAATCCTTTTCTGAAGGTTGACAGAGTTAAAGAATACAATTGAGATGTGGGCTAGGGGTTCTGAAAGAATTGTGGGGATTTTGTGGAGTAGCTTGGGCAGACGAGCTAGAATATACATACAACAGTATAGCTGGATATGGTTTCCTTGAGTGAGTCTATCCATTTATGATGGCATGGACAATCCTAACTTTAGTGTAGTATTCAATTATACTTTTTATTTGTGGATTCTGTGAATGCACACATGTGGAGTGTCTGCACCTGCGCAGGCCCCAACGGAAACTTTCCAAGTTTAAAACTGCAAGTTTTGGCGGTAACCCCAGATTCTGTTTTATCTCCTCTAAAATTATTTCAATCCAAAGAAAATGATGTGAACTAACTATGGTGGACAACACATATTTTATGCATGCGACAGCAAAATTACGTACACAGATATTTTAAGGACCATCCCAGTCAAATTAAGCCATAATACACCAGGAAAATACTGTCAGAAATATTAAAAATTAGCTAGGTTTTTTATTACAGAAATATGAGAATGGGTACAATGGCTCAGCAAAAGACACAGTTCAGTATAAGCAGGTGTGTCTGTAGTTTAGTAGTCCTCAGTCTGTGAGAAGTCTTTATGGCAGAAGGGCCTCAGTATGTTAGTAGGCTTCAGTATGAGAAGGCTTCAGTGTTAGTTTGTCTCAGTATATAGGAGGTGTTGGTCTGAGAGAGCCCTCAGTGGGAGAAAGGCCTCAGTGTGAGGTAGGCCTCAGTATGAGAAGGCCTGGTGTGAGAAGCTTCTGTGAGAGAAGCCTCAGGTTGAAGGCCATCGTGTGTGAAGGCCCCAGTGTGTAAAAAGCTCCTGTGTTAAGCTCCTGTGTAAGTTTGGTGTGAGAAGAGGCTCTGTGAGAGTGAAGCTGTTTATCTGCATGAGAAAGAAGCCCAGCGTGGAAGCAAAGAAGGAAATATAAATAACTTTATTTGTGTTATGGAAACCTTGTTCTTGTAAATAGCGCAACCATATTATTTTGCTATAAAGAAAAGCCTCCTATGGAAGAGATAACACTGTTCTGTGTGTTTTTGTTCTTTTTATCAATTTTGGGCTACTGGTGCTGGTGGGTCACGCTGCTGCTAATAAGTTACTCTGCCATGCATTTATGGGGAGGGTCTTTTGTTAATAAGCCCACTCACAAATATCACATTACTTTTCTGTATTTCTTTTTATCACAGATGCCTTCCAGGATGTCAAATTTGTCAGCAACTTGTCAGGTAGGTATGCAACTTTCCAAATGAAGTAACCACAACTCACTCAATTTGTAAAAGAGTTATTGAAGATAGTTTTGTGCCTTCAAGGCATTTCTTTTAAAAATATTTTTAGACATGTTTTTCTTCAGAAAAAAATGATTAAAAAGAAAACAGTGCACCATCCCATTATGGCATTCTAGACCTTAGGCATAATCTCTCTTCAAATGATCTTATGTATGTGTGTGGGTACTCTGAATTTCCATTATGTGGCATTTGAAGCAAGAGCTACTGTATTGTTAGAACCCCGCAGAGCATGAGACCTCAATTACTTTTTTATATAAAAAATACAATAATCTTATGAGAAATAGCCAATATTCATGATTCAACAGTGTATATCCAGTAATATGAGAATGAGCCAAGGATTGTGCATTTATCGCTGTGTGTCTTCCTGATTCCTTGACTCTCAATAATTATCCGCAGGTGCTGCTGTGGCCGCTTGGTCCGGCAACATGCTTGCTTCACTGCAAGCCTTGCCATGAAATATTCAGATGTGAAACTGGGTGAAAATTTTAATCAGGAAATAGAAGAGTGGTCAGTAGAAAAACACACCGAACAGAGTCCAACAGATGCTTATGGTATCATTAACTTTCAAGGGGGTTCTCATTCCTACCGAGCCAAGGTATGTATCAAGGGATTATTTGTCTGTTAGTAGCATAACTGATGATGACTGCTTTTGGAATAAAAATCAAATACAATAGGCAGACCTATTTCATGAGGGGTTTGTTCCAGGATCCTTTGCATAATAAAATGTTCATGTAATCTGGAACCTTATTTTTCTTTCCTCAAATGAATGAGGGTTGATACCATGGAATCATTTCGGAGGACCTAAAAATGGTTGGAGAGGTGCTCTCTCTGGATTTCTGGCATGATTCTGTGGAAAGCTTACAGTGGAACTTTCAGTAGACATTGATCATAGAATCACCTGGAGGCCTCGAGAGACTACTACTCTAGTCATTGTTTAATCCTCCAGAGCTACGCTATGATATTCAGACCTCTTTGCACATCATTTAGTGAACTTGTGTAACAAGCAAGCCTACTGTAACCAATCTATATAAATAAAAATGTAATGGTTCCTTGTGGGATTAACAGAGCTCAAAAACCACTGGACGAATTGTCACCAAATTTGGACACAATGCACCTGTCAGGTCAACAAGTGACCATCACTCATAAAAACACTAAAAACACAGCAGAAGAGACTTTAAAAACCAAAAAACAAAAAAATACATTACAACGGATTGCCAAAACAACATATATACACATATATATATACATACACACACAAAAAACACATATACACAGACTGGGCCACAGCAACACGTGGCAGGGGACGGCTAGTGTAAGATAAAACATGGAGGTAATATCATGCAAGGAAAGAGATGTGAGGGAGGTCAAGTTCTCTTTGATTGACTTTGGATACTTCAGATTGAAGGCATGGTGCATATTATTATGGAAAGTAGCTCTGCTCAGATAATTTTTATTTTGGGGCATGAATGAATGACTTTTCATGTCATTTTATGAAGTGTGCTGTATAATCTGTATTAGTTAAAATGAGTGGAAGATTTAAGTTAACTATTTGACAGTATTCGAGATTTTATTTGCACTTTGCCAACATTAATAAAGTGGTATAATTGAAGGAAATGCTCTTTCTACAATATGTTTCTCACTCTATAGTGTTACTGCTTAATAGAAGGTTCTCTAAGATCTGCCAGTCTTTGTTGTGCTGTGGGCCTCTGTTTGTTAGCTCACTAAGTTTAATGGAACATTATCCCTGCTCAGCATTTTTACCCTGAGCAATAATCTCAATTATAGTTCTGTTTTTTTCAATGGTGCTTTGTTGTCCTATGTCTTTTTACCAAGCTTTTTTTTTTTTGCTCTGGGAAAATAATTGGTGGATAACAACTCATTTAGGACACCATGCCCTAACATAATTTATATGTTGGGATGCATAGAACTTGGAAAAGTAACATTTCCAAGATTTTCAGTGAGGAGCTGTCCCTACATGTTTCTTTACGTACCCTGAGAAAGCCAGCTACTTTTCTCTTCACCTTTCTTCTGCCTGGGGAAAAGAAGGAAGATACTGAGGACCAGAAACACGTGGCAAAATGGAAAAGAAGGAGGAGCCATTCCTGGCAAATTTGGTTCCTCCTCCTCTTCCTATGTGTTGTGTCTTCATTCAGTATTCCTTTTTCTTTTGCCTGAGAATAGAGATTTGCGGACAGAGGAAGAGGAACAGGAGTAGGATCTGCAGTGTAAGGGAGGTAGCACAGGGCCAGCTCCTCCTCTTTTCTTCTTGCCATGAGTCTCATGTTTCTCCAGGAAAATGAAGGGAGATGCCGGGTGGAACAGAGATTTGTGGCAGGGGAGGAACCGTCCCCACCTGCAGATTCACCATCATTTACCTGGTGGATCCAGTTTCTCTTGCTTTAGTATGCTGCTTGTTTCTATTTTCCCTCAGTGCTCCTTCCTTTGCCCAAGTGAAACAGAGATTCGCAGAACACAAAAAAGAGAGAAAAATAGCTTGTTTTTATATTAGAATTTAAAAAACATGTAATTCAGTAGTTGTCAACCTGTGGTCCCCAGATGTTTTTGGCCTTCAACTCCCAGAAATCCTAACAGCTGGTAAACTGGCTGGGATTTCTGGGAGTTGTAGGCCAAAACGCCTGGGGACCCACAGGTTGAGAACCACTGATGTAATTGTTGTTGGGATGGCCTGTGGCTATTAGTAAGCACAGATTGCATCTCATTAGGACATCACATTAAAACGTTGCTATTGAAAATGAGGACGATTGGAGAGGGAACTAATAACCTATAACATTTTCTTGTTAACAGTGACCTCTGGGCCTGTATGCGGTTCCTTTCTTTACAATGCATATATCTATTATAATTCTAGAAACAGCAATAAATATTGATTTCCTGTTATGCGTACATAGCCCCGTTTGAAAAAGACACTGTGTCATTCAAAATTACATGGTGTCCCAAATTCTCAGAAGAGGTTCAGGATTGATACTGGACAACTACAACTGTGCTCTCTCTCCCCCCCCCCCCCCATATATAATATCAGTTGTAATTTATGCAAATGTGGGATATATTTTCCTGGTTATAGTTCATGCAAATGTGGGATATATTTTCCTGGTTGTATGTATCCTTTCTAAATATGTATTCTTTCTTGTTAGTATGTACGATTGTCTTATGACACCAAACCTGAAGCCATCCTACAACTTATGCTTAAAGAATGGCAGATGGAATTGCCAAAACTTGTTATTTCTGTTCATGGAGGGATGCAGAAATTTGAGCTTCATCCACGCATCAAGCAACTGCTTGGTAAAGGACTTATTAAAGCTGCCGTGACAACAGGAGCCTGGATTATAACTGGAGGAGTGAATACAGGTGAAGTCTCAGCTTTAAATATATTGTCCAGGTCACAGGCACCCCTTAGTTACAAACATCCGACTTACAAACAAGTCATAGTTAAGAATGGGTGAGAGAAATCTACGTCTAGGAATGGAAATTCACTCCTGAAAGAGTTATGGGGAAAAGGGTTTCCCACCTATCCTTGAAGCTTTCAGGCCTATCCTTGATTCCACAGCAAACAATTCTTTTCAAAATCCAAATTATCAGTGGGACAGAAAGTGAGGTGAAATCTCCTGAACAGGGACACAGACAGCAAAACAAACACCACAGGGGTGTAAACCCTTCCCTATGTATCCAAAGCTTTATATATATGTATATGCCTACACACACACACACACACACACACACACAGATACATTTAAAATTGTACCTGCTCTGACTTATAAATTCAACTTAAGAACAAACCTACATAACCAATCTTGTTCATAACTTGGGCACTGCCTGTATTTGATATTGAAATGCATTCAAGAAGGCCATAGAGGCAGCAGAATTGACCCCTATAGGTCATGCAAAACATGCAAAACAATCCAGTCCCAGAAAATGGGTCAAAACTACCCAAACTACAGTGGTGCTATTCAAGGCCTGTTCAGGAAGATATTAGCTCGGTAATACCATACTTACTTTGTATCTGAAAGGTCCGTGTTTCTACTTGGAATCTCTAAATAGCACCCATCTCGTCTGCTGCTAGACAGTATAAACAATATTGAGTGTGATGCATCCACACACAGAGGAAAGTATTAATTTGTGTCCCCAAATTATAATTCAAGGTAGAATGTCCCCGCTTGAACTTGTAAGTACTCAGAAAGATCTCTCCAGTCACTCTCGTTGCAACGTGTAGTAATAGTGAGACCGCGGATCATATTTCAGTTCTTGTGGACCACTGCTAGTCCACGGACCACAGGCTGGGAACCACTGCTGTAGAGATAGGCTGGACACCAGTTTTTGCAGATAGCTTCAATGCATTTCACTTTTTAAGTTTGCATGGTAGTAGTGGTAACATACTGATCCAGTTCTAACTAACGGTGAAGTTGTGCTTTATTTGTTGTACAGACTAAATAATTAATTCAGGCCTTGTCTTGTGCTTCCCCAGCAAAAAAGACTTACAATGTATTGGTTATTGAGCTCAAAAACAATGAAATGAGAATAATAGTATTTAGATAGGTAGTGAGAGGATTGTTAATGTATTTCACTCTCAGTGGTAGACTAAGCCGTCATTGGCTAGGATGTTTCATCCTAACTACTGAGCATTGTGGAGTAGGAATGACATAATTTTCATAAGACAATGATATTCCTTATTCCTGAACAGGGGTTGCAAAACATGTGGGTGATGCTCTTAAGGAACATGCCTCTCGATCATCTCGAAAGATTTGCACTATTGGAATTGCACCGTGGGGAGTGATTGAAAACAGAAACGATCTCGTTGGGAGAGATGTAAGTTTGGCCAGTTTTGCACTTGTGCTCATAACTGGCATGATTACTGTAAGGCTTTGATCTGAAGTTGCCTGTCTCAGAAATTGACATAAGCATACTAGAATATCCAAAGGAATGTTCTAATAACCACAATTTAACAAGATTGTTTACATGAGTTGAACATTTTCTTCATTGCTGTATTCTCTTTTAATTATTTTAATGAAAATCTATTCATTCTCCTTTAATAAGAGCGTATTTTGTTGTTGTTGCAAGACTGAATCGGAGGTTTGTCGTGTGGTTGAAAAACAGATCATCAAACAATTGAAGTTGCTTTGAAAAATAATTTAGATTTGTATCTATCTGAAAAAGGCATTTTATTTTGGTCTTTGCTTAGGTGGTCGCCCCATATCAAACCCTTTTAAATCCTTTAAGTAAACTAAATGTCCTCAATAATCTTCATTCACATTTCATCCTGGTGGATGATGGAACCGTTGGCAAATATGGAGCTGAAGTAAAGCTGCGGCGAGAACTGGAAAAAACAATCAACCTGCAAAGGATTCATGCAAGTATGTATGAGTTATGATTTGTAAATTAAATAGCCCTTAGATAGGAAATTGGACTGGATGGTCCTTGTGATGATTTCCAAGTCTGTGGTTCTATGAGATAGAAAACACTCTATGCTGGGGAATGTATGCTACAGTGATAACAGTTTTCCTCACTTGCATAATTGAGAAAGCGAACTGGGGTGACAAGCTTCCCTATTTAGAAATCTGCCTGTATGTGTGTATGTGCCTTCAGGTCCCCTGTCAACTATGAATTTCATAGGTTTTTCTTCAGGAAGGAATATTCAGAAGTGGTTTTGCCAGTTCCTTCCTCTGAAATATCGCCTACAGCACCTGGTTTTCATTGAGTCTCGCATCCAAGTGCTAATTAGGGCTGCTTGGCTTCCAAGGCCAACCAGGATCTGATGCCTTAAGGATATTTATGCTAGAAAGCTGCTTACATAGATAAATAGAAAGACATGCTGGTCTTCTTTTTTGTGGAAATTTTAGAGCAGTGTTTCTCAACCTTTCTAATGCCACGACCCCTTAATACGTTTCCTCCTGTTGTGATGTCCAACTATAATATTTTCGTTCCTACTTCATAACTGTAATTTTGCTACTATTATGAATTGTAATATAAATATATAATATGCAGGATGTATTTTCATTCACTTGACCAAATTTGGCACAAACACCCAATACTCCCAAATTTGAATATTGTTGAGGTTTGGAGGATTTTGTCAGTTGGGAGTTGTAGTTGCTGGGATTTATAGTTCACCGACAATCAAAGAGCATTCTGAACTCCACCAACGATGGAATTGAACCACAGAACTCCCATGACCAACAGAAAATACTGGAAGGATGTAGTGAGCATTGAGCTTGAGTTTTGGAGTTGTAGTTTACCTTCATCCAGAGAGTACTGTGGACTCAAAACAATGATGGATCTGGACCAAACTTGGCACAAATACTCAATGTGCCCAAATGTAAACACTGGTGCAGTTTGAGGAAAATAGACCTTGACATTTGGGAATTGTAGTTGCTGGCATTTATAGTTCCCCTACAATCAAAGAGCATTTTGAACACCACGAATGATAGAATTGGGCCAAACTTCCCACACAGAATCCTCATGATCAACAGAAAATACTGTGTTTTCCAATGGTCTTTGGAGACCCTCAGACATCCCCTCACGGGGGTCCCGACCCCCATGTTGAGAAACACTGTTTTAGAGAATTGTGGATAATTAAAAGCAACCCTTTCTGTAAGGACCTAAAATACCCCCAAGATTTTATTGGACTAACATTTGACAAACAGAAGCTTTACAGTACCTACATATTCCATAGTGGTTGTAGCCGAGGGCTTATGTTTTCCTGTGTAAAGTTATTATATATTTACACTTTTCCTGTGTTTCATTTACGTTTGTGCTGACTTCATTGGCTGCAGTTTAATTACCCCTTCAACATATGTAAGCCACATTTTAGAACCTGTGTATGATTAACTGTATTTAAAATGTGCATAGCTCAGCATCTTAAGTTGCTTTTGGATTAGAAGAGCTGTGTTAGATCTAGCATTATGTTATGAATGTTAGCTTTCTAGCTGATATTTACCTGTATAGGGTATGGTTAAATATTCAGTGAAGATAGGTGTGTGCAGTCTGAATTAAAAAGGCTAACCTGGAACTGAAAAGAATGGTGGGTTTTTACATTTCCTCTCCAAAGGAAATTCCAAATGCAAGCAATTGTCAGATTTCAAGCTGACTTCTGGCATTTTTATGTTGTTGTAGTTGTAGAGTAGCATCCAAAGACCTCTGATTTTTTTTTTTCAGAACGGTAAGCTTTAAAAAAGATTAATTGTTCAAGTTTCCCAATAGGTATCTGTTAGCTTATTCATGGCTCCATCCTGCAAAATCCTGGGATTTATAGTTTGGTAAACCTCAAGAGTTGTCTGCCAGAGAAGGTTCAATATAACACAAAACCATAAACCCTGAGATTTGATATGATGGAGGCATGGTAGTTATAATGGTGCTATAAGTCTGAAGTCTGAACACACCCAGAGAATCTGATATTGACCAACAACAGATGTGGGATGGGGAGAGGAAAACTTCAAAGACTGCATATTTCTAGCCCTTATTTTGGGTCTAACCTATCTCAGAGACCGTATCTAATAATATATCTATCTATCTATCTATCTATCTATCTATCTATCTATCTATCTATCGTGTCAGGAGCGACTTGAGAAACTGCAAGTCGCTTCTGGTGTGAGAGAATTGGCCGTCTGCAAGGACGTTGCCCAGGGGACGCCCGGATGATTTGATGTTTTTATCATCCTTGTGGGAGGCTTCTCTCATGGCCCCGCATGAGGAGCTGGAGCTGATAGAGGGAGCTCATCCGCCTCTCCCCGGATTCGAACCTGCGACCTGTCGGTCTTCAGTCCTGCCGGCACAGGGGTTTAACCCACTGCGCCACTGGGGGCTCCTATATATTGTATGAAAATATACATATATATATATATTGTATATATTATATGAAAATACATATTGTAAGCCACTCTGAGTCCCCTTCGGGGTGAGAAGGGTGGCATATAAATGCAGCAAATAAATAAATAAATAAATAAATAAATAAATCCTATAAACTGGCACGGGCTTAGAGATCTGCCAGTGAGGCCCTCCTCTTGGTTCCACCTCCGTCACAAGTACGGCTGGTGGGAATGAGAGAGAGAGCCTTCTCGGTGGTGGCGCCCCGGTTCTGGAATGCCCTCCCTAGGGAGATTAGGTTAGCCACCACTTTCCAAGCTTTTTGGTCTAGTCTAAAAACTTGGCTTTTTAGACAGGACTTTGACCTTGAGTAGATTTTAATGGTTAGATGTGAGGACTTAGTGACTGCTCCACTCCAGCACTTGGATTGTTAATTTTAAGACTGCCGGTTTTATCTGCAGGCATCACTGCATTTTATGAATTTTAAATTATATATATTATGTGTCATTTTATGTATGCTTGCTGTTGTAAATGTATGCTGTTATAGTCTATATGTTTATGTATTGTTTATTTTATGTTCGGCACTTGTAGTTCTTATGTGCTCTGCCTGAGTCCCTTTGGGGAGATGGTGGTGGGGTATAAATAAATATTATTTATTAATTTTATTGCATTTATATCCCAGGTACATAAGGTTCCCAGCCTATCTTCTGTCTGTAAACACTAGCCAGAACCTGACCTGTAAACACTAGCCAGACACATGACACAAAGATAGTGTGTCATGTGTCTTAAAACCTGCTTGGTGAATTCCTGGAAACTAGAGGAGTGAAGTTTTTTTCATTGTCAGAAAGAGATTTACAACTTGCACTAACTAGCAAGAATAGAACAAACTATGCACAATGGTGAAAGCATGCAGGAAATGGTTCAAAATAATGCTTGATGACGCAGGATGCCAAATGGCGTATGTGTTAAATATTACAAATATACCCTTATGATAGTTTCTGGTCCATTTAACTCCTTATGAATACAAAGTCGCTTTTAGTACAACATAGTTGCCTATAATAGCTAGAAGGCTACTAGGAATTGTTGGTTGAAGTTTGCCCATGGCTGGACTATAGTGTACTTTATTAAAAGAAGAACTATTTATTTATTTACGACATTTATACGCTGGCCTTCTTACCCCGAAGGGGACACAGAGCAGCTTACAAGTTATATGTAAATACAATATATTAAATTATTAGCATAGCACAATATTAGTACCATCCATTCCCATATAGTACTATACCATTATACTGTAATATTATTAGTAATATTACATGTAAAATGAGAGATATAATTATTATATTGTATTATTATTATTATTATATTGTATTACATTATAATACAATACAGCAGCACTGGGACTGTGGCGCAGCTGGCTAGGAGTCAGCTGTGTTAAGATCACTACTGACCAAAAAGTCATAAGTTTGAAGCCAGCCCGGGTCAGAGTGAGCTTCCGACCAATTTTGTGTAGCTTGCTGTCGACCTTTGCAGCCGAAAGACAGTTGCATCTGTCAAGCAGGAAATTTAGGTACCGCTTATGCAAGGAGGCAAATTTAACTAATTTACGAGGCCATAAAAATCTCCAGCAGGCATGCAAAGAATGAGGAAGTACTTCATCAGTGTCACAAATGGTTGGTGAAGGGACAGCTCCCCCGGTGGCCAGAATACCCTCAAGAAAAGCTGGAATGTTAAATTGCCTCTGTGTCTGTCTATATATGTTGTGTGTCTATGGCATTGAATGTTTGCCATGTATATGTACATTGTAATCTGCCCTGAGTCCCCTGCGGGGTGAGAAGGGCGGAATATAAATACTGTAAATAACTAAATAATAAAATAAATACATATTATCAATATTATATGTGTATACAATATATTATATTATTAGCACAGCACAACATCAGTAATATATTGATACTATAATATATTATGTTAATATATAAGCCTTCTATTTATATATGTTTTAAAGTGCCCGTTTGAATAGCAGTAAAAGTGCAAGAGCTCTTAGTCTGCAACCTTTCGCTCCAAAATCTTATGAATAAAGGTCTCTAGAATCCATAGATTGGTAGTATATAAAAGTGCAAAGTGAAGGTGATTGCTAAAAAGAGTAATCAGCTTAATTTTTCTGTCCCCCCCCCCCCCCCACTTGTTTTGTGCAGGAATTGGCCAGGGTGTCCCCGTGGTGGCACTCATATTTGAAGGAGGCCCCAATGTTGTCCTTACTGTTTTGGAATACCTTCAGGAAAGTCCTCCTGTGCCAGTTGTGATTTGTGAAGGAACTGGCAGAGCGGCAGACATCTTGGCTTATGTATATAAGCAAACAGAAGAGGGAGGGTAAGTAACCATCAATGTGAACACGCGAAGCTGCTTTCTTTTGCGTCAGAGACTTGGTCCGTCTTGCCCTATATCGCTCCTCCTAAAGCAGTGGTTCTCAACCTGTGGGTCCCCAGGTGTTTGGACCTACAACTCCCAGAAATCCCAGCCAGTTTATCAGCTGTTAGGATTTCTGGGAGTTGAAGGCCAAAACATCTGGGGACCCACAGGTTGAGAAACACCTGTCCTAAAGGATGCAGACAGCACTAAAGTATTTTAAATAAATTCAGGTCTCAAATGCTAGATTAATTGCAACCCTTAATATTATGTCAAAGCAATAATAATATAATATCCAGGTTGCAGGAATTAATAGATCCACTAATTTCCACTCTCGTCCCCTCCAAACTTTCTTGTGATGAAGGCGGGATTGAGAGCAGGGCCTCCCCGGACGATCTTCAAGTCCGAGATGGTTCATAAATCTGCTTTACCTCTGATTTTTAGTTCCCTTGCATGTGAGGAAAATTTTACCTGGCTGTATCTTGAAATTGAAGAGCATTTTCTTGAGGAGACACAGCTTATATAAGAGTTCCGTGTTTTGAAGGTCAAGAGTTTGCTATGAGGCTTATTTTTTTTTAAAAAGAAAGTGATGCCTCCTATTCTATATTTATCCTAATGATACAGCATTTCTTTCTTGCCTTTTTATTTTTTGGAAAAAAATCAGAATTATTCCTGATGGAGTCGAACCCGAAATCATTTCAACCATCAAAAAGACATTTAATTTTGGCCAGAGTGAAGCAGTCCATTTGTTCCAGACATTGCTGGAGTGCATGAAAAAAAGAGAGCTTGTAAGTGAATCTCTGTGTAGTGTGCAATGACAATAAGATAGTTGTTTTCAGAACTCTATTCTGCATTGTATGCATTTATAAATTTTTGAATTTATGACCAGTTAACATTGTTAAGCCCAGGTATTTTATTATTTCTAAGCCTGTCGCTTTGTTTTGGTTTTGTTTGTGTGTTATTGCTTGTTTTAATCACATAACGGTGACCCAATAGAGTTATGAAATGAGACATAGTTCACTTTATTTGTATTCCTGATTTTATTTTCTTGGCTGTAAATTCTTATATTTAAGGTACCTCTGTAACACTGGTATGTTAGAATATTCTCATTTAATTGTTATTCAATTGATTGGATTTGGATTTTTGTATATGCTGAATTGTTTGAGTTTTCTTGCTTTGTATGCAAAGACAAATGAGCAGTTCTAGAAAACCTTTTCCTTACATTTTTAAAACAGATCACTGTATTCCATATTGGTTCTGATGAGCATCAGGATATTGATGTTGCCATCCTTACAGCGCTACTAAAAGGTATGTTCTGGCCCTTGAAAGCATGATATAGTTAGGGCTGTATTGAACATATTTGGAGTGGGAGATTTCCCCTAAAACTACTGGGAAAAAAATCTCACGTCCTTGCTCACTTTTCTCTATGATTGTTCTCTGCTTTCTTACTGGCAAATATGCAACTGTTGTGGAATTATTCCCCTTCTGAAATGCATATCCTTTCAGTAATAGTCCCAATTAAATGGATATAATCTGCATTGTTATGTATTGTCTGCACATACCACATGACTGATCAGATAGAGCCATGGGGGTGCTGTTGTTTTAGATATGAATTGGTTTTAAGGGTTTAAACTGTTTATTTTTAATACTATTAATGTTTAATTCCATTTTAATATTTGTACATGTGTAGGTTTTAATTGTATTGGACTTATTGTGAGATGTTTTGAGTCTCTTTGAAATCCATCTTAACAATATGTGTCATAAATATTAAACATTAACTAGGTATTTTAATTACAAAAATGTGAGTCAACCACTTAAAGAGTTAAATGGATATAATGAGTCAATAAAAGCTGTATTTCTATATAAGCAGGTGTGCCTGTAGCTTAGTAGGATTCAGTGTTAGTTCACCTCAGTGTGAGAGAGGTGTCAGTCTGAGGGAGCCCTCAGTGTTAGTAGACCTCAGTCCGAAAGGCCTCAGTATGATAACGTCTCTGTATGAAAAGGCCTCAGTGTTTGTTTGCCTCAGTATTATTAATTAATTAATTAATTAAAACATTTGTATTCTGCCCTTATTACCTCGCAGGGGACTCAGGGCAGAGCACAACATATATACGACAAACATTCAATGCCGGAACATAAAACCATATATATACACAAACATTAAAATCACTTATATTCACATTAAAAGTCACTTAAAAACCATCTCAGGACACCATTTTGCCTCATTGCACTGCCTCAAAGGCTTGGTCCCACAGCCAGGTCTCCTCCATCCTTTTGAAGGAAAGGAGGGAGGGGGCTGATCTAATACGTGAGAGGCCTGAGAGTGAGAGAGGCCCCAGTATGAGAAGATCTCTGTGTGAGGTAGGCCTCAGTATTAGTTTGCCTCAGTATGGGAGAGATCTCATTGTGAGAAGGCCTCAGTGGGTGAAAGGCCTCAGTGTGAGGAACCTCACAACCATTGAGGATGCCTGCCATAGATGTGGGTGAAATGTCAGGAGATAATGTTCTAGAATATGGCCATATAGCCCAGAAAACTCACAGCAACCCATCTTACTAACCGCCTGTAATTTGTAGATCTTTGGAAAAGGGGCAACTATATCATACATTTGGCTTTTAATCATTTAAATTTCAAAAATATTTCCACAATATTATAATTTTGACATATTTGATTCATGAAATGGATATTTTCTGTTTTGTGTTATTTTTCATAACTTAAGCAAAATCATTTAGTCAATTGTTTTTAATTTGCATTGCTTGATTCCTTGTGAAAACAGATTTACACGATTAATGAGTTCGAGTCTGCTTTTATGTTTTTTTTTTTAGGAACAAATGCTTCTGCATTTGATTGATTCCTTGTGAAAACAGATTTACACGATTAATGAGTTCGAGTCTGCTTTTATGTTTTTTTTTTTTTAGGAACAAATGCTTCTGCATTTGACCAGCTTGTCCTTACTCTTGCATGGGATAGAGTTGACATTGCCAAAAATCATGTTTTTGTTTATGGACAACAGTGGCTGGTAGGTAGACATCATAGTTGGAATAACAAATTCTTAATAGGATGCTGTCCTTTGCTCACGTGTAATGTAAATGCACAAAGAGAGATGAGCCAATGTCAGCATAGGGATAAGTCTGTGTGCTTCCCCATCTCTTCCTGCAAAACCAGTAGAATTGGACACAGTGTCATTCCAGGTGTGGTCTGACCAAAGCAGAATAGAGGGGTGGCATGACTTCCCTGGATCTAGACACTAGACTCCTATTTATGCAGGCCAAAATCCCATTGGCTTTTTTAGCTGCTGCATCACATTGTTTGCTCATTTCCACAAGGACTCCCAAGATCTTTCTTTTACTAGTGCATTGATAGAACTTATTTCACATTCAGAGACAATATTGGCTCATTGCTTTGCTTTATCAAGTTTTGTATTTCAAGTTGAGCATTCCTTATCCAGATTTCCAAAATCAATAATATTCTAGTGATACAGTGGATGGTTCAATATACACCAACTTTGTTCCATGCACAGAATTATTGAAAATATTGAAATTAAGTACACGCTATTATGAAACATAAATGAATGTCATGTTTAGACTTTGGTCCCATTCTCAATATATCTATTTATGTACATACATGCAAATATAGGTATTCCAAAATCTGAAATCCAAGACACTTCTGGTCTCAAAAATTTTGGATAAAGTACCATACATTATTTAATTCTGTTGTACTAATTGTTTTACATCTTTAGGTTGGCTCTTTGGAGCAGGCAATGTTAGATGCCCTTGTGATGGACAGAGTTGCCTTTGTGAAACTTCTTATTGAAAATGGAGTGAGCATGCACAAATTTCTCACAATCCCAAGGCTTGAAGAACTTTATAACACTGTAAGTTGATGGCAATCCAGCTGTAACAATACTACATTAATCTAATGTAATAGGTTTTTATATTAAGAGGTTAAGATCGTCTGGGAAGGCCCTGCTCTCGGTACCACTTACTTCGCAGGTGCAATTGGTGGGGACGAGAGACAGGGCCTTCTCAGAGGTGGCCCCTCAGCTATAGAACCCCCTCCCCCCATTGAAATCAGGTCAGCCCCCTCCCTCCTGACCTTCAGAAGGAAAGTAAAAGCATGGCTCTGGGACCAAGCCTTTGGCCAGTAGTACGATGCAATAAGTGAAATTGGAATACGTGCAATAATGACTGAAACAGCTTTTGACTATGACTCTCGATTGCCTGGTTTTAATAATGGTTTTAATGTTTATATTGCTTTTTAATTTATGTTCTGATTTATGTTTATATTATTATATGTCTGTTTATATGGCATCAAATTGCTGCCGATTGTAAGGCCACTCCGAGTCCTCTCCAGAGTGAGAACGGCAGGATATAAATACAGTGAATAAATTAATACAAATAAAAATGAATTATTTTGTTACACCTTCCACTTGATGGGGCTGTAGAATTTTTTTTTATATTTATAAAAGACACTACAAACAAGGCAAGAGTATTAAATATGACGTTTTGACTTTGTCATTGTACTTGTCTCTTATAACATGTTGGAATTTGTCTGAAATTTTGAATTCTTTTGATCCACCTCAAGAAACAAGGCCCAACAAATCCAGCGTTATTCCACCTCGTCCGAGATGTGAAACAGGTAGAGATTTTAACTAATACTTCCATGATTTGCATTTAATTATTATTTTCTTCCAATTTCATGTTAGTCTTATTTCAGTATACAAAGACAAAATTAGATTTTAATCTCTAAAATGTAATTGACCTGGACATGTTTAGTCTGCAGAAGAGAAGGCTGAAAGGAAACATGATAGCCATGGATCAAGATGTGAGGGGAAGTCATAGGGAGGAGGGAGCAAGCTTGTTTTCTGCTAGCTCCGGAGACAAGGACGCGAAGCAATGGCTTCAAACTATAAGAAAGGAGATTCCACCTGAACATTAGGAAGAACTTCCTAATTGTGAGAGCTGTTCAGCAGTGGAACTCTCTGCCCTGGAGTGCGGGGAAGGCCTCTTTTGGAGGTTTTTAAACAGAGGCTGGATGGCCATCTGTCGGGTGGGGGGGGGCTTGAATGTGATTTTCCAGCTTCTTGGCAGGAGGTTGGAATGGATGACCCACGAGGTCTCTTCCAACTCTATGATTCTATGATTCTGTCTCACATGGCTTATGGAAATGTGAATGTAATGTTATATAAGCAAAATGAAGAAGTCCACAAATTTCACTTCCTCTCTACTGATTTTAAGTTCTGTTTCTGGCCATCACCAATTCTAAGCACAAGAACTTTCCCCATGAGTTAATGCTACTTCCTGGGAAAGGTTTCTTCATCTATGGATCAAAACAGCAATATATCATTTTGTGTATTTCTGTACACAAACTAATAACAAAAAAATATTAATGCATCTTTGAACTCATTATATTAGTATACAGAACCATTTAATATGTATATTTAATATGAATACAAGTCAGGGAAGTTCTTCCTCAATATTTGGTAGGCATAATTTGCTATTTGAGCCCCAGTGGCGCAGCAGGTTAAACTGCTGAACTGCTGAACTCACTGACCTAAAGGTCACTGATTCAAATCCAAGGAGAGGAGTGAGCTTCCGCTGTTAGGCCCAGATTCTGCCAACCTAGTAGTTCAAAAACTTGCAAATATGAGTAGATCAATAGGTACTGCTTCTGCAGGAAGGTAACAGCGCTCCATGTAGTCATGCTGTCCACATTACCTTGGAGGAGTCTTGGGACAACGCAGGCTCTTTGGATTAGAAATAGAGATGAGCACCATCCCCATTTGGACTCGTCTAGACTACATTGCAACGTCTTTTAAGTATCCTGAACAAATATCACTTTCTCCTCAGGGAAACCTCCCTCCTGGATATAAACTTACTTTGATTGATGTGGGACTTGTTGTCGAGTATTTGATGGGAGGAACCTATAGATGTACTTACACACGAAAACGCTTCAGAGTGATTTACAACAGCCTCAGTAGCAGCAATCGGGTATGTGGTTCTTCAGAATATAAAGTTTAATCCATTCAGTGTAACCAAAACATATTAGTTTGTTTGTTTATGTATAGGTTTCAATTTTATCCTGATATAGAGACTAACTATAGGTGGCTAACAATAAATATAAAACAATGAGTCATAGTCCAGTGTGCTCAAATGCACACTGGCTCCCAAAAAATTCTGATTTGCATATAATCACTGGCGTTGGCAGGATGTTTCTTCCAAATCTTTCCAACTTTAAGAGCCTTCTTAACATTTTAACTATTTTACTGTACAATATTCTGGGGATTTAAATATTTAAATTTGACTGGATTTGGCCTAAAGTATTTTGCTTGCATCATCTCAGCAACTTTATAATCCTTGAACGAAGCCGCCATTATTCCAGCATTGCCAGTGTAGTTTGTGTTGAAAGGCTTGAAACTTTTCTTAGGCATCTAAGTGAACAGTTTATTTTCTCATTAGTATGCTGTTACTGTGTTAGTCGAGCCCCAATCGTGCAGCTTTTTTTGGTAGACATAATTTGCTATTTGAGCCCCTGGTGGTGCAGCAGGTTAAACCGCTGAGCTGCTAAACTTGCTGACTGAAAGGTCGGCAGTTCAAATCTGACCTCCTGTTGTTAGCCCCAGCTTCTGCCAACCTAGCAGTTCGAAAACATTCCAATGTGAGTAGATCTGTAGGTACCACTCAAGCGGGAAGGTAACAGTGCTCCATGTAGTCATGCTGACCACATGACCTTGGAAATGTCTACGGACAATGCCAGCTCTTTGGCTTAGAAATGGAGATGAGCGCCACCCCCCAAAGATGGACATGACTAGACTTAATATCAAGGGGAAAGCTTTACCTTTAAGTGTATTAGCCCATTACAAACCAGTTTGGATCTGCGATCCATTTAAGAAACATCTCAACGATTTTGCGTTATTCTGGCAGCATACTCTCTTTGAAAGAATCTTCATTTATTATTGCATTATTTTTTCCTTTCCAGCGTTCTGGGCGAAATGCTTCAGGAAGCACCCCTCAGTTGCGTAAAAACCACGAACCTTTTGGGAACAGGGTGGATAAGAAAGAGAAAATGCGGCATAATCACTTCATCAAAACTGCACAGCCTTACAAACCAAAGGTATACAGTGCTTATTTGCCTTCTTGATGAGATAAATACAGAGTAAAGATAACATAACGGTTTTTTTGGTGTGAATAACAGCGTTAACCCAGGTTCATGTAAATAGCATACTTGTAAATGATGGCATTCCGAAGAGTTGTTGTAGTCATTAAAATTGGAGTTGCACAAATTATAAGGACAATTCAAACAATAGTGACTCTTTTGGACATGTGCAAATACCTGAAAGATTAGCAAGCTGGTATTTTCTTTCTCCAGATAACTGAAGTTGCTCTGTTTGTTGCCATGAAACATTGCTGTGCCTTTCTCATGCTTGTAAGATAGGATTCGGAGTATATTTTTCTGTTGGCTTACTTGATTTTTTTTCCTTGTAGCAAGATGTCAAATTGTGTGACCTTTTTTCTAGCTAACATACATTGATCTTTCACTGTTTCTTACTTATACATTTATCTTGTCTATCTCCAAGAGCTGTTTAATTGTATCTTATTGTTAGAAATATTTCTTCTTGCTTCTTGTCTCAATTATTTGTGTACTCCCATTTTAATTGTGTATTGTCTATTGTATTTTAGCTATTGTATTTTAGCTATGTTTGTTTAATATACTGTCCAGTTCTATTATTATTTGATATTGCTATTTAATATGTTCTCACTTGTTTACGGTTGTTTAGTGTCTTCCTGCACTTCATGGCATTGAATGTTTGCCGCTTTATATTTTAAACCGCCCTGAGCCCCCCCGGGGAGAGAGGGTGGGATAGAAATAACATATTATTATCATTATTATTATTATTATTATTATTATTATTATTATTAGAAACACAACAAGATGAATCCACAGCAGACACTCTGCTGGCTGTTGTATTGGATCACACGTCGGACCCTTCCCAAGTGTTTAGGATTGTGTGATGTATCAGCGAATAATGCGTGCAGATCCCAGTAAGGTGGCCTTCTGCAGCTGGCAGATGGTAATTTTGTCCGTGCTGATTGTGTTTAAGTGCAGGCCAAGGTCTTTAGGCACTGCACCCAGTGTGCCAATCACCACTGGGACTCCCTTGACTGGCTTGTGCCAGAATCTTTACAATTCAATCTTTAAATCCTCATATCGTGCCAGCTTTTCCAGTTGTTTCTCTTCAGTCCTGCTGTCACCTGGGATTGCAACATCGACAATCCATACTTTGTTTTGTAACACAATCATGAGGTCAGTGTGATTGTGCTCCAAAACTGTCTGTCTGAATTTGGAAGTCCCAGAGGAGTTTGACATTATTATTATTATTATTATTACTATTACTATTACTATTATTATTATATTCATAGCTCTGCAGATTTGTCCAAATAGTTGCGTAACTGAAAGTTCAGCCTGTAATAATCATAAATAGAGCAGAGGCACATACATTGCAAACTAGCTTCATCAACTTTAAGCCTTCACAATAGGAAATATTATTAATGCTTTAAGATTTGTAGATTATGTTTAAATGTGTTAATATATTTCCTTTTTAAAAAAAATATCTTAGATTTGGTAAGAGATGTGTGCTTAGATTAAATAAATTAATATGGTGGCACAGCGGGTTAAACCGCTGAGGTGCTAAAGTTGCTGACCGGAAGGTCGGTGTTTCAAATCCATAGGACAGGGTGAGTTCGCATTTATAGCCCAGCTTCTGCCAACCTAGCATTTTGAAAACATGCAAATGTGGGTAGATAAATAGGTACCGCTCTTGTAGTAAGGTAATGGCGCTCCATGCAGTTATGCTGGCCACATGACCTAGGAGATGCCTACAGACAACACTGGCTCTTCAGCTTAGAAATGGAGATGAGCACCGTTTCTCAGAGTCGGATTCGTCTAGACTTAATGTCAAGGGGAAACCTTTACCTTTACTTTTTTTTCCCTTTAAATTCGGGACACTCCTTTATAAGATAGCTGTCAATTTCTGATAAAACTGGTGGAAATTGGGCTGCTACTATAAAATGGTACTACTTTCCCTTTTTTCTCTCTCTCTGTCTTTTTTACAAAAAGGCCGATACTACTACAGATGAAGGAAAAAAGAAGAAAACCAAAGATGACATTGTAGACATTGATGATCCAGAAACAAGACGCTTTCCTTACCCTCTTAATGAGTTGTTACTCTGGGCAGTACTGATGAAGAGGCAGAAAATGGCCCTCTTCTTCTGGCAGCATGGCGAAGAGTCCATGGCAAAAGCCTTAGTAGCCTGCAAGCTCTATCGCTCGATGGCCTACGAATCCAAGCAAAGTGACCTTGTCGATGATACCTCAGAGGAAATCAAACAGTATTCTAAGTAAATATGATGTCATTTTAAATATTCAGAAAGCGATGAGTAAACTTTACAAGTTGTGAAAGAAATACTCTTCCTTCTGGTTTCCAATTGTTGTTTTTGTTTCATTTATTGCACTCAACGTCCTGTATTTTATTTGAAGAGCTCAAAGTGTGACTCAGTTCTCACAAGCTCAGTTTGGGCACTAAATAATCAATGAGAAAAAAATAGCTGGACAGTTGCAACATTCACACTTGCCTCCAACAGACAGTTCTTTCCCCCACCCTGGGCATTCCACAGTTACAAACAAGATAGGCTTTGTAGGCCTGTCCTTAAGTTGAATTTGTATGTAAGTCGGAACAGGTACATTTTTAAGTGAAACTCCAGCCAAAATAGAATAGCTTTGTTGTCATTGTACTATTTCACATGGAATTAAATGTCTTCCCCAGCACTCACCATAAAACAACACAGCCCAACCACCACCACACAGACCCCAATGCCACATCAGTGCAAAACCATGGGATTCAACATAGACACAGCTCTAGGATAAAAGCTGTCTCTCAGAGATATAGAGAGATGAGGATGGGTCAAAAAGTTTTGCCTCCTGTGTCATTATAAATGAAAATATAAGAGCAGAAGTTGCTACAGATCATAGCCTGAACCATCCACACAAAACTACCATTCAACATAGTCACCATCAATTTGTACACATTTCCACCATTGTTTAACCCAGGCATCACAAACGTTTTGGAAAAAAATAGGGTTTTGCTTCGTGACCCATAATTTTAAAGCTATTTTAATGTCATTCAAGTAATTGAATCTGAAGTGAAGTAGGTTGTCTTTCAGAGGACCTCTGGCTTCTCTATGTAGTCTGAATGTGGGTGGTTCAAATTCGGGAGGCGGGGTGAGTGCCTGTTTGTCAGTTCCAGCTTCCCATGTGGGGAATGAGAGAAGCCTCCCACAGGATGGTCACACATCAGTGCGTCCCCTGGGGAACATCTCAGCAGACAGCCAGTTCTCTCACACCAGAAGCGACTTGCAGTTTCTCAAGTCGATTCTGACATCATTAAAAAAACAAAAAAAAAGTTTGAGATATAATACAGATGGTGACATTTGCATTTCTGTTGTATATGAAATAACATGTTCACCATATCTATATCTTGTAATCCTCCCCCCAGTGAATTTGGACAGCTGGCAGTTGAGCTACTAGAGCAGTCATTTCGCCAAGATGAAACGATGGCTATGAAGTTGCTAACATACGAACTGAAAAACTGGAGTAACGCCACCTGCCTTAAACTTGCAGTGTCTTCACGTCTTCGCCCTTTTGTAGCTCATACCTGTACACAAATGTTGTTGTCTGATATGTGGATGGGAAGACTGAACATGAGGAAGAATTCATGGTACAAGGTAAATGGTTTTTAAGATTCGGCATCATTTTTATTATCACTATAGCGATGCTTAAATGAAAGGCGATATATTGAACATGCAGCCATGCAAAATCTTCCTCAGTATAATCTTAGGCTTGCATGAAAACAAAGGTGTAGGTGATATTGGAATGAACAATAACTCTTCTTTTGATGCTTTATTTTTTAAAAAAAGGTACAGAAAGGTAGAAGGCAGAAATCAGGCAAGTAGCTCTTAATCAGAGATGGATATCTAGATCATCATGAGAACTAATATACTACTAAAAATTTAGTGGTGAACCATTAACAGACTGAAATACCGTTGTAAAACTTGAAATGTCATTAAGCTTTCTGCAGGTAGTAAAGTAAAAAATGTGATGTAGAAACTGTTTGTATTGGTATTCAAACTCCGAAGACGAGCAAATGAGAGGGCCTGATGAATTCGGAGAAATCACTAGGATGTAAATGGGGTCGTACGTTCTCAAAATGGTGTTATGTTAAGGGAACTGTATAACCTAGATTAACAGTAGCGGAGCTGCATTTCTAAGCATGCCATATTGAAATTTTACCATATCGCACTATGTTAACATTGTCTAAAAAAAGTAGAGTTGTTACAAAAAATAACCTTTAAGTAGCATTTTTAAAAATATGATGCACTGTTGTCTATCCTGTGTTCCACTTTGTCACCTCTCATTTGCTTACTTAATCAACTAGGAGTAATACCCCTTTTCCTAGATGAAGATGGGTGTGCTTTGAATGCAATATTCCTGCTTCTTGGCAGAATGGGGTTGGACTGGATGGCCCATGAGGTCTCTTCCAACTCTATGACTCTATGATTCTATGCTCCAGAATTCATTTCTATGTATTTCACGGAAGTATGACTAACTTAATTATATACATTGACTGCAGAAGGCAGCAAATATTGAGGAACTGCGTATTTTTTCAATAATTCTACAAGGTATCGTGTGCATAAAAATTAAAATGTAACCATTCTACATATTTTACTTGCTACCTGATACATTTGGCTAAAAAAAAACACAAAACCAACGTGCAGAGGCTTATGTGTGCTGGGTTGTTCTATTTGTTTCTTTAATAATAGCTCTAATTTGAAATTTAATTTTGAATGACACAGTGGATACATTTTACAGGTGATACTGAGCATCTTGCTCCCTCCTACCATCCTAATGCTGGAATACAAAACCAAGGCAGAAATGTCCCATATTCCTCAGTCTCAGGATGCACATCAGATGACAATGGAAGACAGTGAAAATAACTTCCAAAACATAGCAGAAGAGATACCAATGGTAACTTCATGCACATGTGCATGCTCCTACATAGTAGATTCTCCTTCTCTTCCTCCTTCTTCTATTTCTCCTTGTTTTCCTTTTCCTTCTTCTATTTCTCTTCCTTCTCCTTTTCCTTCTCCTTCTATTTTTCCTCCTTCTATTTCTCCTCCTTTTCCTTCTCCCTTTCTTTTTCCTTTTCCTTCTCCTTCTATTTCTCCTCCTTCTCCTTTTCCTTTTCCTTCTACTTTTCGTTCTTGTATTTCTCCTCCTTTTCCTTCTACTTTTTTCCTTCTACTTTTCTTTCTCCTTTTCCTTCTCCTATTTTTCCTCCTTCTATTTCTCCTCCTTTTCTTTTTTCCTTCTCCTTTTCTTTTTTCCTTCTACTTTTCTTTCTCCTTTTCCTTCTCCTTCTATTTTTCCTCCTTCTATTTCTCCTCCTTTTCCTTCTCTTTTTCCTTCTCCTTCTCCTTCTATTTCTCCTCCTTCTCCAAACAGTTAAAACTCTTAAAACCGATCAGATGCAGTCTGAGCCGAACTTTGAAAGCACCAAATGAAATCAGTGAGACAATTTAGTCATGACTGCCTTAAGATCCCTTGACTTCCCTGGGACTTCTTTAAGGATGGCCAAGTCTCAGTCTGATGCAATATTTTTTAGCAGCAAAAAATAATTGTATTCTTTATACATGATTTTGTATTCTTTATATATGATTTTGAAAAAGTGCTGTTTTTATGTTAGGATGTGTTTAAAGAAGTACGGATCATGGACAGCATGGAAGAGAAGCATGACATGGAGACAGTGATAAAACCCAAGAGGCTGCCCATAACACGGAAATTTTATGCCTTCTATCATGCACCAATAGTAAAGTTCTGGTTTAACACGGTGAGGTTTTTTGTTCAACTTTGGGGGGGGGGGGGAATCATGGAACAATTGTGCATAATCTTTATTTACATTTTGCTTGGGTTTTTTTTTTTTGTAGTTGGCATACTTAGGATTCCTGATGCTTTACACTTTTGTGGTTCTTGTGAAAATGGGAGAGCTGCCTTCAGTTCAAGAATGGATTGTCATTTCATACATTTTCACGTTGGCTGTTGAGAAAATTCGTGAGGTGGGTTTGTGTCTGTAGCATTTGCATGCTTGAGTTGACTATGAAGCCAACACATTCAGTGCATATAAAGTTAATATGGGCTCTGGCCCTTTTAACAGCTTTGATATTAGACTAGTGGTTCTCAGCCTTCCTAATGCCGTAACCCCTTCATACAGTTTGGGAGTTATAGTTCACCTATATCCAGAGAGCACTCTGGACTCACGCAATGGTGGATCTGGACCAAACTTGGCACAAATACTCAATATGCGCAAATGTGAACATTGGTGGAGACTGGGGAAAATAGACCTTGACTTTTGGGAGTTGTAGTTGCTGGGATTTATAGTTCATTACAATCAAAGAACATTCTGAACTCCATTCTGAACGATAGAATTGGCTCAAACTTCCCACATGGAATCCAGATGACCATCAGAAATAACTGTGTTTTCTGATGGTCTTTGGCGACCCCTCTGACACCCCTTTGCGACCCCCAGGTTGAGAAACACTGTATTAAACCAAGCTGACTCTGCTTAATCTCTTATTATTTTTAACACAGATCTTTATGTCGGAGGCTGGGAAGATTAGTCAGAAGATTAAAGTGTGGTTCAGTGATTATTTCAATGTCAGTGATACAATAGCCATTATCACCTTCTTCATTGGTTTTGTACTAAGATTTGGAGCAAAAGGGGACTTTGATGAAAAAACATATCAAGTCAACTATGTGTTTGTTGCTGGAAGATTAATCTACTGTCTGAATATAATATTTTGGTATGTTCGATTACTGGATTTTCTGGCTGTAAACCAACATGCTGGACCTTACGTCATGATGATTGGGAAAATGGTAAGTTCTTCTAACAAAAATAACATTATTGCTTGTTTTCATTTGTATTAAAATATCCAACTATATTAACTACACTCATTGTATTTTAAATTCAAACTGAAGTGTAAAGCACAATCACAAATAGCATTAAAGCTATTTTTTTCTCTCTCTGAGTTCTGGCTACTTGTGTGAAAGGCTCCTTTGCCATAAACTGAGGTTTCCCAGAGAATGATACCTTTTGGGATAAGATATTGAAGACAGATAAAAAAATAATTACAATATATATATAAAAATTGTTAGAATGGTCGACAGAAATAGTACAAGTAAAGGACTGCATGATCAAATGGGCTGCTATTACTGGACATACAATTAAACTAGAAGAATGGGAAAACTATGGAACCAAAAATTAAAATTTACCTGGTCTTTTAACTTGATAAGAAAATTTATATAAAATGATGTACCAATGGTACATAGCACTGTATAAATTATCAAAATGTTACTCGGTGGCGCAGTGGGTAAACCGCTGAGCTGCTGAACTCGCTGAGCAAAAAGTTCAGCAAGTTCGATTCCGGGCAGCGGGGTGAGCTCCTGCTGTTAGCCCCAGCTTCTGCCAAGCTAGCAGTTCGAAAACATGCAAATGTGAATAGATCAATAGTTACTGCTCCGGTGGGAAGGTAACGGCACTCCATGCAGTCATGCTTGCCACATGACTTTGGAGGCATCTACGGACAACACCGGCTCTTCGGCTTAGAAATAGAGATGACCACCAACCCCCAGAGTCGGACATGACTGGACTTAATGTCAGGGGAAAATCTTTACCTTTTTTACTACTCAAATATGCAAGATAAATGTTGGAAATGTGAGGACCATGCAGGGACTTTTCCCCACATGTGGTAGACCTGCAAAATAGTGAAAAAAATTTGGAAAGAAATTCAAGAAAAATTCAGATGACATAAAAATACTGTTAAAACCAGAATACGTTCTACTGGGAATTATTGACATAGAAATGGACAAAAATAAAGATAGACTATTTAATGATTTAGTGTCAGCGGCCAGAATAACGTATGCCCGACACTGGCGAATAAAAGAATACCTACAAAAGAACAATGGATGTCGAAAATAATCGACATAATGAATATGAACAAATTAACACAACTAATAAATAAACATTTAGGTGGGTATCCAAACACAATGGACTGGATATCATTAAGAAAAAAATAAAATTGGTAATAGAACTAAATTGAAAATAAGGAGAAAAAATATCATTGGAAAACATTAAAGAGGGGAGAATAATAATACAAAGAAATAAGAAAGGACAATGTAGACCACGGTGGAGAAGATTGGAAGTCGAATTTTCTTTTTCTCTCTCCTTTATCCTCTTTCCTTCCTGAGATCCATAGCAATTTGGGCTTACATATAAACATATTTTCTTTTTTTCACCCTTTTCTGCTATCTTATATTTCTATTTACTTGTGGTAGTATTTCCCCACTCCACACTATACCCCTCTTTTTATGATATTGTAAATATTAGAATTTTACATGCTTAATATAATGGCACATACACTGAGAGTAAAGTTTGAATTACCAGCAAAAACTTTTGCTGATAATTCAAACTTTACTCTCAGTGTATGTGCCATTATATTAAGCATACAAGACACTGTATATCAGGCATGTAGCTGGAGGGGGGGGGGCTTGAGGGGCATGTTTAGTAGTCATACTACATGTGTGAATCCCATGTCTTCTGCTTCACTCTAAATTCTGTTTTTAACAGGTGGCCAACATGTTCTACATTGTAGTTATTATGGCACTTGTTTTGCTCAGCTTTGGAGTCCCTAGGAAGGCAATACTTTATCCTAACGAAGAGCCATCCTGGATTCTAGCAAAAGATATCGTGTTTCAGCCATACTGGATGATCTTTGGTGAAGTGTATGCCTACGAAATTGATGGTAAGACTTTCCTCCTCCTTCTCTTATGTAGAAACCAGATTTTTTTACTTGATCTTTGAGTCATAATTCCATTTATAAGAGAATATGTTGGAAATTTTTGAAATCGGGTGCTTAATAATGAAGTACAGTAATATTATTTATTTATTTATTTATTTACACCATTTCTACCCCGCCCTTCTCACCCCCGAGGGGGGACTCAGGGCGGCTAACACAGGCAACAATTCAATGCCAACAGTATCAATAACAACGATAGAAACCAACAATATAAAATCCTATTACATAACGATTAAACAGTGATATTAATTAAAATTACATAATCACAAGTCACATAGCCATTTCCAATTTTCATAACAATCCTATTGTCCGAGTTCAGTGCCTAAAGTGCTGCTGTGCCTGGCTCTTTAGTTTTTTCCTAAAAATAAGGAGGGAGGACGCCGATCTAAACTCGCTGGGGAGCGAATTCCACTAGCCGGGGGGGGGGGTCACTACCGAGAAGGCCCTGTCCCTCGTCCCCACCAGACGCGTTTGAGATGCTGGTGGGACTGAGAGCAGGGCCTCCCCAGTAGATCTTCAATTACGAGGTGGAACGTAGAGAAAGATACGTTCGGATAAGTAAGCTGGGCCGGAGCCGTATAGGGTTTTATAGGCCAAGACCAGTACTTTGAATTGTTTGGATATATTTAAAGCCCATAAATGAAATGTTTCAATATATTTAAAACCCATTCCTCAAAATTGTGGGAGTTGAAGTCCAAAACACCTGGATGGGCCAAGTTTGCCCACACCTGGTATAGATGTAATAAACAAATGTGCTGTATTTTTTGAAAAATAAAATCTTTGCATTTTTTTATTGATCAGCATTTTGTTAGAGACATTGTATTGGCAACTGCACGAATGTTATGGGTTATGTGAGGGAAAGTCCTAGGGAGGAGGGAGCAAGCTCGTTTTCTGCTGCTTGCAGAACTTGAATGTGATTTTCCTGCTTCTTGGCAGAATGGGGTTGGACTGGATGATCCATGGGGTCTCTTCCAACTCTATGATTGTCTTAATTGTCTTCTTCTGAAATACAGCAACACAACTGAAATACTGAATTTATGTAATGTAATTGGTAACTTAATGTTGTGTATTATGTTTTAGATTTTGAGTGTTAGCATTGAATCTTTGCTGTTAGCTGGTCTGAGTCCCTCTGCAGAGGAAGAGAAGATCGGGATAAAAAAGTTTCAAATAAATAAATAATGAATACATCACCTCATTGGGAAAATCGCCAGGAGATGCCTAGGAGTTTGGGCCATTTCCACTTGCATGATAAACTAGAAGATATTAATTAATTAGAGCTCTTAGTCATAGCAAGGAGGGAACAAGCTTGTTTTCTGCTGCCCTGGAGACTAGAATGCGGAACAATGGCTTCAAACTACGGGAAAGGAGATTTCACATGAACATTAGGAAGAACATCCTAACAGTGGGAGCTGTTCAGCAGTGGAACTCTCTGCCCTGGAGTGTAGTGGAGGCTCCTTCTTTGGAGGCTTTTCAATAGAGGGTGGATGGCTATCTGTCGGGGATGCTTTGAATGCGATTTTCCTGCTTCTTGGCAAGGGGTTGGACTAGATGGCCCATGAGGTCTCGTCCAACTCTATGATTCTATGAAAGTTTGGATCTGGGTTGTTGTAGGTTTTTTCGGGCTATATGGCCATGTTCTAGAGGCATTATCTCCTGACGTTTCGCCTGCATCTGTGGCAAGCATCCTCAGAGGTAGTGACCTCACTACCTCTGAGGATCCTTGCCATAGATGCAGGCGAAACGTCAGGAGAGAATGCCTCTAGAACATGGCCATATAGCCCCCCAAAAAACCAACAACAAGCCAATGATTCCGGCCATGAAAGCCTTCGACAATACATTGAACTAAAATACTGTTTTTTTAAAAAATAATTATATTTGCACCATCAATTAAACTGCAAAAGTTAACTATTTTAACTTATTTCCTGAAAGTATGTGCGAAAAATTCTGAAGTTAAAGACCTCTGTGTGACAGGAGCGTGGCTGACACCATTTCTTCAGGCTGTCTACCTTTTTGTACAGTATATTATCATGGTCAATCTTCTCATCGCCTTTTTCAAGTATGTATATATTTCATATGATACTTTGATTAGTAAATGGTTGCTTGTAATATTATGTGAAGAAGTTCAACCGATGATGACTTTCCTGTACCTTTTCCCAGTATTGCCTAGATGAGTATGTAAAGTGATTGTTAGTAGGTCCTGAGATCATTTTTCATACTAAAACACTACTGCATAACATTGGTTACAGTCATTTTTGAACATCTATCAAACTGCAAAGTTAATACATTTTAGCCATGGTGCATAACTGGATATACATGTTATTATTAGGTTAGCCCTCACTCTCCAAACCTTTTCACACCTATCTGCGTGACCGCTTTTCTGTGTACGAACTCACACGATCTCTTCGATCATCTGGAGAGGCCCTGCTCACGCTCCCACCTCCTTCGCAGGCACAATTGGTGGGGACAAGGGAGAGGGCCTTCTCGGTGTTGGCCCCTCGACTCTGGAACTCACTTCCCAGGGACATTAGACATGCCCCAACGCTGGCAGTCTTTAGGAGGAGCCTGAAAACGTGGCTGTTCCAGTGTGCCTTCCCAGAATAAGGAGAACTCTCAGCAATATGTCCTCACAATGCACTTTAATACTGACTTAGGATGGACTATGCTCTCTCATTTCTCTCCGAAAAATCCTATCCTAGTTATATTTTACCCTGTTCATGTCAGCATATTTTCAATTTTAATCTATTACGTTTGGCCCGGCCATTTTTAAAATTGTTCATGTCACTATTGATTGTTTTTTGTTTATGTGATTTATATGATTTGTATTTTATTGATTGTTTATTGATGCTGTGTTATTATTATTATTATTATTATTATTATTATTATTATTATTATTATTATGATATGAGGATTTAAAGATTGAATTGCAAAGACTCTGGCACAAGCCAGTAAAGTTGGTCCCTGTGGTGATTGGCACACTGGGTGCAGTGCCTAAAGACCTTGGCCAGCACTTAAAAACAATCCGCGCTGACAAAATTACCATCTGTCAGCTGCAGAAGGTCACCCTACTTGGATATGGAGACATTATTTGCCAATACATCACACATTCCTAGACATTTGGGAAGTGTCCGACCTGTGATCCAATACAACAGCATAGTGATCGTGTTTGCTGGGTATTAATCTTGTTGTGTATATAATAATAATCTTGATTTATAACCCGCCCTATCTCCCCAAAGGGACTCAGGGCGGTTAATAAACTATTATGACTTTTTCTTCTTCTTTTTTAGCAACGTATACTTACAAGTGAAATCTATTTCCAACATTGTATGGAAATACCAGCGTTATCATTTTGTCATGGCTTATCATGAGAAACCTATCCTCCCTCCTCCTCTCATTATCCTGAGCCATATGGCATCTTTGTTCTGTTGTATATGCAAGCAAAGAAAGAAGGACAAAACTTCAGACGGGCCAAGTAAGAACACATTAAAAATGCATAACGTAGTTCATTCTTTCTATTCTGCAAAATATGTACAGTGATTGGTTTCTGTATGAGAAAACTGGTTGTTGGGTTGTTGTGGTTGTGCCTTCAAATTGTTTCTGACCTTTAATGACCCTAAAGTATAAGATGAAGTTTTCCTAGTAAGATTTGCTCAGGTTGCCTTTGCCTTCTTCTGAGTCTGAGAATTTGAACCCTGGTCTCCAGAGCTGTAGTCCAACACTCAAACTTTTATACCACAATGGTTCTCCTAGAGCTTAATAAACAACATTCTTCTCTTGTTTATTACCCTAGAGCACAGAGGTTCTCAACCTTCTTAATGCCATGACCCCTTAATACAGTTCCTCATGTTGTGGTGACCCCCAACCATAATATTATTTTCCTTGCTACTTCATAACTGTAATTTTGCTACTGTTACGAATTGTAATGTAAATATTTATTTTTCATAACATTTATATGTCGCCCTTCTCACCCAGAAGGGGACTCAGAGCCGCTTACAAGATATATATACATATAATATATTATATTATTAGTATACCACAATATCAGTATTATTACTATATTGTACTATACTATTATAGAGTAATATTATTAGTAATATTACATGTGATATAAAATATATAGTTATAATATCATATTACTAGTAGTATTATTATATGGTATTACATTATAATATTATAAATATTATATGTATATACAATATATTATATTATTAGCATAGCACAATATCAGTATTATATATTACTATATTGTACTATACCATTATGTTGTAATATTATTAGTAATATTACGTGTAATATAAAATATATAATTATAATAAATATCTGATACGCAGGATGTATTTTCATTCACTGGATCAAATTTGGCACAAATACCCGATACACTCCAATTTGAATACTGGTGGGGTTTGGGGAGGGGGGTTGATTTTGTCATTTGGGAGTTGTAGTTGCTGGGATTTATAGTTCACCTACAATAAAAGAGCATTCTGATCTCTACCAATGATGACATTGAACCAAATTTGGTACACAGAATTCCCATGACCAACAGATAATCTATATAAATAAAAATGTAATGTTAGTTTGAGGGATTAACAGAACTCAAAAACCACTGGACGAATTGACACCAAATTTGGACACAAGACACCTAACAACCCAATGTATGTCCTTCACTCAAAAAATTGATTTTGTCATTTGGGAATTGTAGTTGCTGGGATTTATAGTTTACCTACAATCAAGGAGCATTCTTGGAATTGAACCAAACTGGGCACACAGGACTCCCATGACCAACAGAAAATCCTGGAAGGGTTTGATGGGCAGTGTCCTTTGGTTTTGGAGTTGTAGTTCACCTACATCCAGAGATCACTGTGGACTCAAACAATGATGGATCTGGACCAAACTCTACACGAAGACTCAATATGCCCAAGTGTGAACACTGGTGGGGTTTGGGGAAAATAGAATATTGACATTTGGGAGTTGTAGTTGCTGGGATTTATAGTTCACCTACAATCACAGAGCATTCTGAATCCCACCAACGATACAATTGGACCAAACCTCCCACACAGAACCTCCATATGGGCCACAGCAATGCGTGGCAGGGGACGGCTAGTACTGGAATATAATTCTTCCTAAAATATATATTAGGATTCTGTTACTTTTAAAATTTGAGCTAAATCTCCGTTATTCATTCACTTTCATGGTCTTAATACCGTTATCCTTACCTCTGCTGTGTGGTAGGATTCTAAAACACAATTTGTTTCGATCTCCAGAATTGTTTCTAACCGAAGAAGATCAAAAGAAACTTCATGATTTTGAGGAGTTATGTGTTGAGATGTATTTCAATGAAAAAGATGACAAATTCCATTGTGGGAGCGAAGAGAGAATTAGACTAACTTCTGAACGGTAGGTGACTTTATGAATCAACATTTAAACATTGCATTTATACTCAGGGCAGCCGCCTTATAAAACAACACTAATTCCATTTCAGCTGTATGGCCTTGATGGAAAGGTTTAATTGACTTCACAACCTCTGAGGATGCTTGCCATAGATGCAGGCGAAACGTCAGGAGATAATGCTTCTAGAACATGGCCATATAGCCCGAAAAACCTACAAGAACCCAGTTTAATTTATTACCGTATATACTCAAATATAAGCCAACCCAAATGTAAGCCAAGACGCCTAATTTTACCACAAAAAACTTGGAAAACGTATTGACTCAAGTATAAGCCAAGATGGGAAGTGCTGTAGCTACTGGCAAATTTCAAAATAGAAATAGATACAAATAAAATTGCATTAGTTGAGGCATCAATAGGTTACATGTTTGGGAATATTTAAATAAAACTGTAATTTAAGATAAGACTGTTAAACTCTGATTAAACCATTGTTCTAATCTTCAGCGTAAATGTGCTTACGTATCCTTCCAATAATAATAAAGAGAGCGAAATAATAAATGTAATAAAAATAATAATAGAGTAAAATAATGGAAATGTAATAATAACAACAATAATAAAGTAAAATAATAAATGTAATAGCAATAATAAATGTAATAATGATAATAAATAGAGTAAAATAATACATATAATAATAATAATAATCTATATAAATAAAAATGTAATGTTCATTTGTGGGATTAACAGAACTCAAAAACCACTGGACGAATTGACACCAAATTTGGACACAAGACACCTACCAACCCAATGTATGTCCTTCACTCAAAAATGGGATTGGGAGTTGTAGTTGCTGGGATTTATAGTTCACCTACAATCAAAGAGCATTCTGAACCCCACCGACACAATGGAATTGAACCAAACTTGGCAAACAGTTCTCCCATGGCCAACAGAAAATACTGGAAGGGTTTGGTGGGCACTGTCCTTTGGTTTTGGAGTTGTAGTTAACCTACATCCAGAAATCACTGTGGACTCAAACAATGTTGGATCTGGACCAAACTCTACACAAATACTCAATATGTCCAAATGTGAACACTGGTAGAGTTTGGAGAAAATAGAATCTTGACATTTGGGAGTTGTAGTTGCTGGGATTTATAGTTCACCTGCAATCAAAGAACCCCACCTACGATGGAATTGGACCAAACTTGGCACATAGTTCTCCCATGGCCAACAAAAGTACTCAACGAGTTTGGTGGGCAGTGTCCTTTGGTTTTGGAGTTGTAGTTCACCTACATCCAGAGATCACTGTGGACTCAAACAATGATGGATCTGGACCAAACTCTACAAGAATACTCAATATGCCCAAATGTGAACACTGGTGGAGTTTGGGGAAAATAGAATCTTGACATTTGGGAGTTGTAGTTGCTGGGATTTATAGTTCACCTACAATCAAAGAGCATTCTGAACCCCATCAATGATGGAATTGGGCCAAACCTCCCACACAAAACCCCCATGTGGGCCACAGCAACATGTGGCAGGGGATGACTAGTAATAATAATAATAATAACAGAGTAAAATAATAAATAGCTTTGACAATAGGATTGAAAATCTCTGGTTCTACTCAAGGATATGTGGTAATGTTTCTCCTCTTTTTCCCCTTTCTCTCCAGTGTTGAGCACATGTGCATCCAAATCAAGGAGGTTGGAGACAGAGTCAACTATATCAAACGTTCTTTGCAATCTCTGGATACCCAAATAGGCCACTTACAGGACCTATCAGCCCTGACTGTGGATACCTTAAAGACATTAACCGCACAGAAGGCTTCGGAAGCTAGCAAAGTCCACAATGAAATTACACGGGAGTTGAGCATTTCGAAGCATTTAACGCAGAACTTTATTGACGACGGTCCCTTACGTTCTTCCGTGTGGAGGAAGCACAGTATTGGCAACGTGTTTGGATCTTCTTTCCCCCAAGGAGGGCTTGAGAGTAATAATGCTGTGCTGTGCAATATTTCTATGCAAAACGAAAGAGATTCTGGATATAAGATTATGGGTCTCCCCAAGGGAGATGAATTCACCTTTCCAGGGGCAGGTTCCTCAGGTAGTGCCTTAGTTCCAAGAGCTCTTTCTCCCCCAGAACTTCGTCAAAGAATACAGGGTACAGACATACCAAAATGCAGTAGTAAAACGAAAAAGACAGGCAATTCTTTAAACAGTATGCCACATTTCACATCAACAACAACTAAATTTTTCGTGAGCACTCCTTCTCAGCCAAGTTGTCAAAATCAGTTAGAGCCTGTCACAGGGATTAAAGAAGTTATAGCCCCAAAGACTGCTGGTGATGGGGAGAGTGCGGTTGAATTTGGTGCATTTGTGGGTAAGTATAACGAGCGAAACCGTGTCCTTCCAAAAGTTGATATTCGTTGCCATAATTTCCCTGCCTCTGGTTCTGTTTCTTGTGCCGCCTCCGCCTCTCAACCTTGTGTTGAAATTGGAGGATGTGTTAATCGTGGATTTGTTTGTGATGAAAGTGATGCTCATAGTGAAAGCTTCTCGGACAAATGGAACCACCATTCCTCTTCCAAGTTGGTGAAGGATGATGCCAAACATACATTGCAGTTATCACCCACTAGTGAGGTCAGAGCTGACCCAAGTAGTGGTTTGAAAAGGACGCTGGACGTTGAAGGATTTCCTAGAAGAGTTCCAGAAACATCAAGAAAAACCTGTAGTGGTTCCTGCATCATTGCACATCTTCAGAAATTGCAAGGTTTGATTGTCAAGACTTGTATGGTACGCTTTGGTGGATTTTGGTTGCAGGTTGCACTTTGCTTTTGAATTTCTCAAGCTATCCAAGTGGTTCTTTCTTTAGAAAAGCGTAAGTTCTTCATAAATCTGAGTTGTAGACAATATTTTTCAGACAGAGAAGTAATCCAGGACAAAGAGATTTTAATCCTTGCTATCGTTTTGCAAATCAGTGCAATTGATTTGGAAAAATCTTTTTTTTTCAATACAGTTGTCTGCATAAAAATATTGTCTCTTCCTCAAGGAAATTGAAATTCCTTTTGTTAAGGGACAAGACATCTGCAACACCTGCTTGTGTAACCTAAGGGTTCTTCTGTGCTACAATTCTCCATGCTGCTTGGTCTATGATCTACCACTGTTTTGGATGGAGTTTCTAAAAGAGAATTCTCAAGAAAATAAAACATGGGATTTTGTATGTTTTCTTTAATAGCAAAATTTTTCTGAATTTGCTAGTTACTCAAATGGCGTTTTAACTTATGTTTACAAAACTGCTCAAAACAATGGTAGATGTGTTTGTTAAAGCACTGGGAAGAAATATGTACTAATTAAATACTGTTCATTGGCTATTGATGATTGTTTACCTGAATATTTTGTGTTCTTTTTTGGTTGGCCAGAAAAGACTTTACATCAGCAGCAATTAGTAAAGACAACATTTAGTTTCTTTCAAGAATAAACATTTTATAGAGGGCATTTTACTGATGTTCTTTGTCCTCACGGCCAAACTCCCAACTTGAATAGACACGTTGATTGAAAGGATATTTACCAGATATATACAATGTTTATGTTAATTCTTTGCTTCAACTTTAGTTTGGAATTGCATTTTTCATCTTGGAATATATAATTTTTAAGGCCAAGGGAATTTGGTTACTCAATTTTTGCATATGTTGAAGTGATTTCATTGGTCCTGCACTATTAGGGACAATTGGATACAGGTTTTTGTCTTGCAAAACAAACTGTTAAAGTGATATACATCCAAGTAACATTTAGTTACATCAGTGGTTCCCAACCTTTATTTGACCAGGGACCACTTTGACCAGGGACCATTCTCCAACATTAGTACTAAAAGAATTATGAATCAGGTTTTGGTCAACTTTAGATTTGATTTGGTTATTTGGGTTGCTGATTCAGAAAATTGCATAGGATGGACCACATCTGCTCTAGTTTCTGATACAGAACATACACAGTCCAGTAGTCCCCATCTACTTGCCCACAGAAAACCATATTTAATAATCAAGAACTGATGTGGTTGTAGTAATCTTTCGTGGGTAGTCAGCCTTTCCCCTCTCGATATCCCCGTTGCTTCAGCACTATAAAAGAGTTTCGCGAGACCCTTCTCTGTCATTGCCTCATGGTTTTGAGGCAACTGTGTAGTAATGGTGAGTCTGCGGACCATATTTTTGTTCTTGTGGATCAACTGGTGGTCCACAGACCACAGGTTGTGGTCCACAGACCACAGGTTGAAGATCACTAAGTTAGATGCACCATTGCCAAATGAAAAGTCTTGTCAGGACAGACCTTTGCTAATGTATAGCTAAGATATTATCAAAAACAGACAGAACTTTGTGAAAAAACTGCAATGAATAGTTGATAATGATAAAGAGAACCTGAGGGTGAATCCCAGAATCTCCCAAGTCAACATGGCTATTTGCCACAGAATAATATCTGGGCTTGTTAACTGATGCTGGAAGTCTCTTTCAGGTTGAGCATTCTTAAACCTGAAACACTGAAATCTCAAAATATCTGGAAAGTTTTGGTGAAGCTGTCCACTTCTTCCTTCAGGGTGGTCCCTGTGGTACCAAGAAATGAGAAGTGAGGATGGTGTGAAATAGAATGATCTGTGAAATGGTGGATATGGATATTATCTCATCTGAGTTAATATTCTAAAATCCAAAAGAAACCGAAATCTGAAGCACTTCTGTTCTTGGGGCTTTTGGATAAGAGATGCTCAACCTGTGGCCCTCCAGTTGTTTTGGAATTCAGCTCCCAAAATTCCTGACTATTGAACAAGCTGCAATAGGGGTTGGTGAGAGTTGAAGGCCCAAACAGCCAGAGGGCCGTAGATTGAAGAGGCTTGTAGGAGCATAAACGCAGAGACACCTGGCATGTACGACTGGGCAGTAAGATATGGCACCCAGCACAAAAATGTGGGGCTGGTGTGGAGATTGGTCCTAGGTATGATCCCAATCTCACATTGCATGCGCGTGCATATAGTATCCAAGACAATCCTGAATGGACATTTGTAGTAGTGGCAAGTGTTTATAAACCAGGCATGGGCAAACTTCGGCCCTCCAGGTGTTTCTAACAGGCGATAAGATGACTGGGATTTCTGGGAGTTGAAGTCCAAAGCACCTGGAGGGCCGAAGTTTGCCCATGCCCGGTTTATACCTTGTTAAGGCTTTTAATTCTTCTCTGAGCAAATGTATATCTAGTCATATTTGCAAGGTTTAATTGGAGATCCTGTCTCCCTCCTACCCTACTCCCCCTGCCAAACATATATGAATATCAGTGCTAACTCTAATCCCTCATGTGCTATACTTTTGAAACATAGGATGAATTTTAGCAAAGTTAAAGACACACAAGATTTATACGGAGTCTGAACCAAATTCCTTGACTAGCAAGCTGAATCATTGCATTTATTTTACTAGAATGGATGCTTTGGTGCTGGGCTAGTCTGTCCTGTTCACAATATAATCTTCATCCTTGTCATACTGGTTTTATACAATGCTGGATGGAGAAAATTAGGCCTGTGGTCACATTTATTAATTGCTTCAGAGGTCTCAGTAGCTCACCATGCTAATGTTATTTTTTCATTGGCATGGGTTAATGCCAATGAGAAAATAACAAGGTTAAACCCTTGTGCTGGCTAAACTGCTGACTGAAAGGTCACCAATTTGAATCCAACGAGTGAGGTGAGTTCCCACCTTTCAGCTCCAGCTTCTCATGCAGGGACATGAGAGAAGCCTTCCACAGGATGGTAAAACATCCGGACATCCCCTGGGCAACGTCCTTGTAGACGGCCAATTCTCTCACACCAGAAGCAACTTGCGGTTTCTCAAGTTGCTCCTGACACAAAAAAAATAGCATAGATTGGAGAATCCCGTGTGCATGAACCTGAACCAAGTGATCTGTAAACCACATACAGATGTCATGATCCAGGCAAATATGTCCTAGCCCCTGTGCATGTGTGGTTATGTGCATATAGCAAATCCATTGTGGGAATAAGTAGAGCGAGGGCAAGTCAACACAATACCATTTTTTCCCACTGCATTGACACTCAGGACCTTAGAGAGGAAGTACTGATTATGAATGGTGTTCATGTCTAAAGATGGAGAACATTCCATGTATCTGTCATTGTTTTTTCTTATCCTTTGAGGATGAAGTTTATATGTAGAAAACCTTTAATACTGAACTGTCCTTTTTCTGTTCAGTTATATTTAGCAAAAATTCTAATACCTATGCTGCCTTTTAAAAGAGAGAGCTTTTTAAGCTCATCATCACAACGATGGTGACAGTTTTTGTATGAAAATCAATAGTTCACCCATTCAGCCAGATATCATCCCAGCAACATTTTAGTGAGAACATACGTCTGTTTGGTCCTATTCTCTAAATCTGTACTTTATTTTTCCTACATGTGACGATACCACAGGTCACAGAGACAGTATGGAGTTGCAACGACATAAAGAGCCTGTGGTGAAAAATAAAGAAAGAAGTGATAGTATTAAGGTAAGACATTCAATGATGGAGGATAAACTGATATGGAAGTTGGCTTACATTACAAGTAGATGCACATTCAATATCATATTGAAATGTCAGTCAGCTTCTGTGGCGCAGCTGGCTGGGAGTCAGCTGCATTAAGATCACTACTGACCGAAAGGTAATGAGTTCGAAGCCAGCTCAGGTCTAAGTGAGCTTCCGACCAATTTTGTGTAGCTTGCTATCAACCTTTGCAGCCTGAAAGTCAGTTGCATCTGTCAAGTAGGAAATTTAGGTATTGTGTATGAGGGGAGGCAAATTTAACTAATTTACGAGGCCATAAAAATCTCCAGCAAGCATGCAAAGAATGAGGAAGTACTTCATCAGTGTCACAAATGGTGAAGGGACAGCTCCCCTGGTGGCCAGAATACCCTCAAGAAAAGCTGGTATGTTAAATTGCCTCTGTGTCTGTCTATATATGTTGTGTGCCTATGGCACTGAATGTTTGCCATGTATATGTACATTGTTATCTGCCCTGAGTCCCCTGCGGGGTGAGAAGGGCAGAATATAAATACTGTAATTAAATAAGTAAATAAATACATTACTAAACAGCAGCATCCTATGTAAATTTAGCAGAGTGTCTGTGAATTAGAGTGTACTAGCATCAGAGAGTAGTTAATAATAATAATACTTTATTTATACCCCGCTACCATCTCCCCAAGGGACTCGGTGCGGCTTACATGAGGCCGAGCCCACAATGCATCAACAATAAAGCAATAGCAAACAAACAATAAAAAAAAACAGTTAAAAATATCTCATAAACAGAAATAAATTAAGCAATACAGTAACACAAGAAGCAATTATGTGTTGTTTATTGATGTGTAATTACTTAGTATATTACGGTGTTAATTGTTTTAAAATAGTGTATGTTGTTAGCATTGAATTTTTGCTCTTGTTGTTAACCGCGTTGAGTCGCCTACGGGCTGAGAAACTGCGGTATACAAATAAAGTAAATAAATAAATAAATTAAAAATCTATGGCTGGGCCAAATGTAAAATTAAAAATTTAAAAAATAATGCTGGGCATGGGCAAGGTAGGATATAACTGGGATAGATAGTTGAGTGTTAAGAGAGAAACAATAACACAATAGAACAGTATTTTGCATTTTTGTTTCCAGTTTTAGAATATTTGCATATACCTAAGAAGATATGTTGGAGACAGGACCCAAGTCTAAATACAAAATGTGTTTGTGTTTCATTTACACTTTGAACAAATAGCACGAAAGTAATTTTAAACACAATAATTTTCATAATTTTGTGCATGAAACAAAAGTTGTGTACATTGAGCCAACAGAAAGCAAACGTTATCACTGTCTCAGCAATTTTGAAGCAGTTTGGATTTCTAAATAAGGCAGTGGTCCATAACCTATGGGTCCCCAGGTATTTTGGCCTACAACTCCCAGAAATCCCAGCCAGTTTACCAACTGTTAGGATTTCTGCGAGTTGAAGGCCAAAACTTCTGAGGACCCACAGGTAGAAAACCACTGGATAAGGAATATGCAACCTGTAGTAGGTTTATGGGAAGGCACTTCTTTGAGAGCATTTTACAGAGATACCAGAACACAAAGCCAGAGTCTCCAGGTTAGGGGTAAAATCTGCAAAATCCATTTGACAGTATTTCATCTTAATTTCTGAATTACAAGAAGAAGGTATAATTCAGACAATTAAAGCCACTTTTTAAATCTTTATAACTTTTGTAGGAGCAACAAGAAGACTTCAGAAAAGCAATTTTGGAAAGCATGGAAGCAACTAAGAATCAGGTAAAAATTAGAGTTGTTTTTATTCTAGCTTTTTACACTGAATGAAATATCGTAAAGACTAATGTTTACACGTCACTTGTAAAAAGTAAGTCGATCAGATCAGTGGCCCTAATGGTTAAACCCTTGTACCAGCAGGATTGCTGACAGAAAGGTCAGTGGTTCAAATCCGGGGAGTGGGGTGAGCTCTCATCTGTCGGCTCCAGGTTCTCATGTGGGGATATGAGAGAAGTCTCTCACAGGATGGTAAAACATCCAGGCGTCTCCTGGGCAACATCCTTGCAGACAGCCAATTTTCTCACACCAGAAGCGACTTACAGTTTCTCAAGTTGCTACTGACACGAAAAAAAGAAAAGGTTCTTTTAAAATACTGTATAACACATTGGCAGCACAGATAATGTATTTTAGTAGAATAATCGTTGTTAACATTGGTTATCTCTTTACTAAATAGGGCAACAGTAATAAAGAAGGCAGCCTGAGGCCTGTTAGTTCGTGTGGCAGCTTTCCTGATGATCGTGGAAATTCATTAGCAGCCCTTTCAGAGCAAAGTAAGTGTCAAAAATTCTTTATATTTTTTAACCTCTAAATTTTTTAAAATGGAATTAACACAAAATACTTCATGATCCTAAGGAGGAAAAGTGCTGTATAGTGATTTACATTGTTGGCATAACGTGGCGACTGGGTGATCTGTGCTTAAGCTCTCAATAAACCATGAAAGTCAGAGTTTAGTCTTGGATCTATCGATCTGTCTTAGTTTGACCTGTCCTTACAGGATCTCTGGGAGAATAAAACCGAGATAATGTCTTGAATTCATTGGAAGAAATATAATATTTTGCTATGTTTTATTTTAATTGTCTTGTTTGTTTTAATGGATTATTTTACTTTATTGTTTTGTGGCCATTTTGTCCTGTGTGTGACCCTAACCCTAACCCTATCGCCCTCTACGTCCCGCCTCACAATTTAATATCATCCAGAGAGGCCCTGCTCTCACTCCTGCCAGCCTCGCAAGTGCACTTGGCGGGGACGAGGGACAGGGCCTTCTCGGCAGTGGCCCCACACCAATGGAACTCACTCCTCAGCGAGATCAGGTCAGGGAGATGGAGGCAGGGTTTAAAAAGAAGGTGGCTGTTGTTGTTGTTGTTGTTGTTGTTGTTATTTCCCACATTTCTAACCCGCCCTTCTCAACCCCCGAGGGAGGACTCAGGGCAGCTTACACCGGCAGCAATTCGATGCCACAAGATAATACCAATATAAACAAATATAACAACAGTTTAAAACAGTAAATAGAACATTAAGTTAAAAACACATTAAAAACATTGTGATCAATCCATACAGCCAATTCCAGTCCCATTCAACATCCAAAGTGCTGTCCAAAGGCCTGATCCCAGAACCACAATTTAACCTTCTTTCTGAAAGAAAGGAGGGAAGACGCCAACCTGATCTCGCTGGGGAGTGAGTTCCATTGGTGTGGGGCCACTGCCGAGAAGGCCCTGTCCCTCGTCCCCGCCAAGTGCACTTGCAAGGCTGGCGGGACTGAGAGCAGGGCCTCCCCGGATGATCTTAAACAACGAGGCGGGACGTAGAGGGAGATACGTTTGGACAGGTAAGCTGAGCCAGAACCGTACAGGGTTTTATAGGTCACGGTTTGGGACCTGCTTATCTTCGCGATCTCATCTTCCCCTATGAACCAGTGCATACCTTGAGATCTTCTGAGGAGGCACTGCTCTCTCTCCCCCTGCTGTCACATCCACGGTTGATGGGGATGAGGGAGAGAGCCTTCTCAGTGGTGGCCTCCCGGCTCTGGAACTCCCTCCCTAGGGAGATCAGACCAGCTCCGACCTTGTCCTCCTTTCGTAGTCAGCTAAAAACCTGGATGTTCCAGTGCGCTTTTGACTAAGCAGCTCACCAATAATTTTCTTGTCCCTACTTGAAGTTCTGCACTTTACATTGGTATACGTTCTACCTCAATATGTGTTATGACAGTATTTCCTGTCCAGTTTACCGTATTATTGCACTTTCCTGTGCTCCTGTAAAAATGTATTGCACTCATGGAATCTATACCTCAGCTATGTTTCTTTCAGCCGTATTGTTTTTATATTGCTTTCAATTGTGTTGTATTTGTTTTACCTGATGTTTTAATTGGTTAAAGTGTTTTATATGTGTTTTCATAGTAATCTTGGGCGTGTCCCTTGTAAGCCGCCCCGAGTTCCCTAGGGGAGGTGGTTGGTGGGGTATAAAAATAAAGTTATTACTTTATATTATTGGAATTGTGCTTGGAAGTAACTGATATTATTTCATTTTTAGTGCACAATAAGAGCAGAAGAACTTCAACTGAAGAATCTCAGCAGGTAGATTCCAAGGCAGCCTTACTCAAAGTAAGTAGCATGCGGTGTTTCCATTGCTTCTTTTGAGTGTTAAAGGGGTTATGCAATTGACAGGATCTATTTCAATGCCCACTGCGGCTTCGTTGCAAATTGTACCCTGTCTTGCTGATGATTTTCAGACTCTCGAAATGCTTTTGAAAACATATTTAATAGAGGCATGGGTGCAGATGATGGCAAATGCAAATGAAATGCAAATTATCACAGGCCTTTGAGAAGGAAATCCTAGGGCCCTTCCAGACAGGCCCTATATCCCAGGATCTGATCCTAGGTTTTCTGCTTTAAATTGGATTATATGAGTCCGCACTGGATAAACAGAAAAGCTGGGGCCAGATCCTGGGATATAGGGCCTGTCTGGAAGGGCCTTTCATCTCTATACAAGGGAGCTATTTGCACCTTTGTTGCAGTGTTTTGAATACTAACGGACTGAGATGTTTATTCTTACCATTATACTGGAATGTATATTAAAGGAACTTCATCCAACTACTTTGCATGGTTCTTTCTTTCTTTCTGCAACAGAAACACATTTTAAGGTTTTGCTTTTTAAATCCTTAGAATTCTCACTGCCAAAAAGGTGTCACACCTTGCTTCTAAATTTATTTTATTTCTTTATTTATGACACTAGCCATCCCCTGCCACGTGTTGCTGTGGCCCAGTCTGGTGATCTGGAAAATAAAGTAATGCGAAAGTGTTGGTTTCTAATATATGTAATTTATTTATTATTTATTTATTTACAGCTTTTATATTCTGCCCTTCTCACCCCGCAGGGGACCCAGGGCGGATTACAGTGTACACACATATATGGCAAACATTCAATGCCAATTTTGACATACAACATATACAGACATAGACAGAGGCTATTTAACTTTTTCTGATGAAGTACTTCCACATTCCCCGCATGCTTTTTTGCTGGAGTGTTTGCTGGAGTCTTTTTTATGGCCTCATAAATTAATTAATTTAGCCTCCCCACACTTTAAGGTGGTACCTAATTTTCCTACTTGACAGAGGCAACTGTCTTTCGGGTTGCAAAGGTCGACAACAGGCTACACAATTGGTTAGAAACCGACTCCAACCCAGGCTGGCTTCGAACTCATGACCTTTTGATCAGAGTGATCTTAATGCAGCTGACACTCAGCCTGCTGCGCCACACCTTCAAATCTATGATACTATATCGCTCTGTGTGTGAATCATATATATCTATCTATATCTATGGCTGGATGGCTCTTTCTCAGGAGGGTTTTGATTACGTTTTTTTGCCTTGGTGAAGGGAGTTGGATTGGATGGCCTTAAGTGTTTTCTGTTAGTCATGGGGGTTCTGTGTGGGAAGTTTGCCCCAATTCTGTGTTTGTGGGATTCAGAATGCTCTTTGATTGTAGGTGAACTACAAATCCCAGTAACTACAACTCCCAAATGTCAAAGTCTATTTCCCCAAAACTCCATCTGTGCTCATATTTGGGCATATGGAATATTCTTGCCAAGTTTGGTCCACATCCATCATTGTTTGAGTCCATGGTGCTCTCTGGATGTAGGTGAACTGCAACTCCCAAACTCAAGGTCAATGCTCACCAAACCCTTTTAGTGTTTTCTGTTGGTCATGGGAGTCCTGTTATACCACGTTTGGTTCAACTCCATTGTTGGTGGGGTTCAGAATGCTCTTTGATTGTAGGTGAACTATAAATCCCAGCAACTACAACTCCCAAGTGACAAAATCAAAAATTTTTGAGTGAACGACATACATTGGGTTGTTAGGTGTATGCTGTCCAAATTTGGTGTCAATTGGCCCACTGGTTTTTGAGTTCTGTTAATCCCACAAACGAACATTATATTTTTATTTATATAGATTTTTATCCCGCCCATTTCAGCCTGCAGGTGACTCAGATCAGCAACAATTAGATGCCGTATAGAAGTGTATATATCAATAAAGACAATTAAAACACATCATAAATACATATAACATCCATAAAAACTATAAAACTATAAAAATCAATAAAAAGCAATGTCTACCAGTTGTTAAATCTTCCAGTTGTTAAGCTAACTCAACGGTGTATTCTTCTCTTTCCTTGTAGGATTGGTTACCATCATACAGCAATCAAATGTAAGTAAAATCCCTATCAATGCTGAATGAATTAGAAACCTGAATCCTTTTGTTAGTGGCTACCATATCAAGAACACTAATTTTTCTTGTGAAATACGGTTAACTATAAGAGGGTTTCACAAGACCAGTCGTTCTTGTTGCCGCATGGTTTCGAGGCAATGGTGTATTAATGGTGAAACCGCAGACCATTTTTTCGTTATTTTGGACCATTGGTGGTCCACAGACCACAGGTTGGGAACCACTGCTTTAAAGGGATCTCTGTCTCTTGCAGGTCTTCTGAGGAAGATGCCTTGAATGGTAAGCAAAGGGTAAAAGTATTTGCATCAATGATGTGAAGTTATGTAATGTTTGCTTCTATATTTAGGACAAGCCAAACTAAATTTGTACCATTATGTTTTCAAGTGATTTGGGCATAACATCAGAAGACCATTCTTTAAATCTAAATTAAGTTGTTGTGCACAAAGAAAGTACCGTATATACTCGAGTATAAGCCGGCCTGAATATGAGCCGAGGGACCTAATTTTACCACAAAAAACTGGGAAAACGTATTGACTCGAGTATAAGCCGAGGGTGAGAAATGTAACTGCTACTAGTAATCATCAGTAGGTTAAATGTTTTTGAGTATTTTCACACAACTGTAATTTAAGATAAGGCTGCCCAACTCTGATTCAACCATTATTCTAACCTTCTTCAATGTAAATGTGCTTACCTATTACCTATAATGATAGAATAAAATAATAAATGTAATAACATGTAATAAAAATAATAATAGAATAAATAATGGAAATTTAATAATAGTAATAATAATAATAAAGTAATAAATGTAATAATAACAATAGAGTAAAATAATAAATGCAATAAAAGTAATAATATTGTAAAATATTGTAAATGTAATCATAATAATAGAATAAAATAATAAATGTAATAAAAATAATACGAATAGCAGAGTAAAATAATAAATAGCCTTGACTTGAGCATAAGCCAATGGGATTTTTTTCAGCCTAAAAAAGGGGCTGAAAAACTAGGCTTATACACGAGTATATACAGTAATCCCCTACTAAACAACCAGTATGCATGTAATCAAACTAAATGTAAATTGCTGTTTCATTTCTTATCATTATACATTTCAGGATTAAAAGTCAGGGCTTGTGAATATTAATAAAAGTAAAAGTAATAATAATACTCATTTTCTTTTAAGGTATTGCTTCTCCTTTTAAGCCCATCATGGACACCACCTACTACTATTCAGGTCAGTTTCCAAAAGCTGTGGGTCATAACAAACTATGGGGTGTTCTTGACTACATCCCATTTCTGTCTTTTTTTTTTTTTTTTTGCAGCTGTAGAAAGAAATAATTTGATGAGGTTGTCCCAGAGCATACCATTCACCCCTGTGCCTCCAAGAGGTAAGGCATCACTTTCATCTCCACCTACGAACCCACACGATCCCTTCGATCTCCCGGAGAGGCCCTTCTTTCGCTCCCACCCGCATCGCAAGTGAGACTTGCGGGGACGAGAGAGGGGGCCTTCTCTGTGGTGGCCCCCTGGCTCTGGAACTCGCTTCCCAGAGACATTAGACAAGCCCCCACACTGGCAATCTTCAGGAGGAATTTGAAAACCTGGTTATTCCAATGTGCCTTCAGTGATTGAATGAAAGATTCTCCCTGACCACCCTTTGCACAAAATGTCCTTAGACATACTTTACTTTATGGGTTGTGCAATTTATTTATTTGTCGTGTCAGCACAACCAGTCAAATTATATTACATTTCTAACAGAACAAACCAAACAAACAGACAAAATACAAAATTTGTGAGTTTGGTAGTTGATTAAATGTTCTTTGACCAGTATCTGGCCCCTTGGAGTGCCTCTGGTGTTGCTGCAAGAAGGTCCTCCATTGTGCATGTGGCGGGGCTCAGGTTGCAGGCAGCAGGTGGTCAGTGGTTTGCTCCTCTCCACACTCACATGTTGTGGATTCCACTTTGTGGCCCCATTTCTTAAGGTTGGCTCTGCATCTTGTGGTGCCAGAGCGCAGTCTGTTCAGCCCCTTCCAAGTCGCCCAGTTTTCTGTGTGCCCAGGGGGAAGTCTCTCATTCGGTATCAGCCATTGACTGAAGTTCTGGGTTTGAGCCTGCCACTTTTGGACTCTCGCTTGCTGAGGTGTTCCAGCGAGTGTCTCTGTAGATCTTAGAAAACTATTTCTTGATTTAAGTCGTTGACGTGCTGGCTGATACCCAAACAGGGGATGAACTGGAGATGTCTCTGCCTTGGTCCTTTCACTATTGGCTGCTACTTCCCGGCGGATGTCAGGTGGTGCAATACCGGCTAAGCAGTGTAATTTCTCCACTGGTGTAGGGCGCAGACACCCTGTGATAATGCGGCATGTCTCATTAAGAGCCACATCCACTGTTTTAGTGTGGTGAGATGTGTTCCACACTGAGCATGCATACTCAGCAGCAGAGTAGCACAGCGCAAGGGCAGATGTCTTCACTGTATCTGGTTGTGATCCCCAGGTTGTGCCAGCCAGAAATCTTTCCTCATTCCTGGCGCCTCTTCCTTATAAGTTACTCTGCCCTATCTCTCAGTGTTTTTAATATTTTCTATAATTTTATCCGTGCATCTGGCCCTGCCTAGTGAAATTTTCTGTGTTTTTAATGCTTGATTTTATATTGTTGTGTTGTATATTATTTCAATTTTGCATTTTATGTATTTTGCTTGTTTTATTGTGTTTGTGTTATAGCTTGTATTGTATTGATGGGCATGGCCTCATGTAAGCCACACCAAGTCCCCCTGAGGGAGATGGAGCGGGGTATAAATAAAGCATTATTATTATTATTATTATTATTATTATTATTATTATTATTCTCTCTCTTTCTTTCCCTCTCCTTTCCCTCACTTTCTGGCCATATTCCAGAACAGTGTCCAACAATGTAGATCATAAATTATTTATTGCTGAATGCAGTACAATAATTACACTGTTCAACGGAGAAAAAGTTGCGGGCCTGAAAATAGTTGTTCTTTTATGATTTTGGGGTGCTGAAAACGAAAATGACATTTAAAAATGTATATTGGCTCTAGTTTTTATGATATAAGCAATCACGTGATCACGTATGGTTGAAAAAATGCATGTTGCGACTTACATTATGGAAGATTCTAGAATACTCTAGAAAGTTTGATGACGCAGTATTAGTGCTGTGTGCAAAAGCCAGAAAGCCCTATATAAGGCCAGACTTTTGAACGGTGAGGGTCAGTCAGTTGAAGACTGAGACAGTATCGTTAAACATCGTTTTACATTGTTCTTTTTACTGTAGTTATGCCTTGCACATGTGTAAATAAAGCACTATGGAAAAAAGAGATCAAGGCCAATGGACTCCGTCAATGCTGTCAGACTAGAGACAATCCTTTCCTTGAATACAAAAGAAAAGTCAAGAGAATCAAACAGGATATACACTAAAGTCACGATTAAAGCGACATTTAAACTTTCAGACTTTTCAACTGCATTAGGCCTACTAATATAGTTTCTTGCTGCACAAACATAAACAATAGACTAATTAAATAAATATTTCTCATGTATAAACTATTGGCAATATAATTTGACTAAAATTTAGTAAATATTCACGGTTTATATACATGCAGTAAGGTTAGGCGCATTATCATAATATTAACGAATTACCTATTGTGGAGAAAATTGAAATAGCTGTTGCATAAAAAACAGAGCCAATTAACACATTTAATTATTATATTTGAATTCAGCATGTTAAATTTATTAAGAAACAGCACGTTTCGTTTCCGTAACTGAGAAAAACTGATAATTTGTAGAACAGTGTTATTTAACTTTTTAAAAAAATGTTTAGCAGCACTCACTAAGATGAAACCAGTGCCGCCTAGTCTTAGATGCATTTCCTTTTTCTGTTGCCACATTAAAGGGGAACCAGTCACTGTGTATCGTCTCGAAGAGAGCTCTCCTAACATCTTGAACAACAGCATGTCTTCCTGGTCTCAGCTAGGCCTCTGTGCCAAAATCGAGTTCTTGAGTAAGGAGGAGATGGGAGGGGGCTTGCGGCGGGCCCTCAAGGTGGCCTGCACCTGGTCCGAATACGACATCCTGAAATCAGGCCACCTCTATATCATCAAGTCCTTCCTCCCTGAAGTGGTCAACACGTGGTCAAGTATTTACAAAGATGACACAGTATTACACCTCTGCTTAAGAGTAAGTTGCATTTTTTTTTTTGCAAGGGCATCTATCAATATTACGTTTTAGAAAAAATTGTAAAGACTTTCTGTATATATTTCAGATTTCAGTATTAATGTCAAAAATACATAGTATGATTTTACATAGGATTTGTGCTACATTAGAACAGTAAAGACAAATATCACTTAAGTAAAATAAACATTAAATATTAAATAACCAGAAAAATAAAATAAGATATAAACACTAAACTAATCTGGGAATTTGCTATCACACCAAAATACTCTTACGTTTGTTTTTGTTTTGTTTTTTTTAATCTTATTGTGGCATTTCTACATTCTGACTGTTTTATATTCTGATGACAGCTTTCCTGGTGGCTACTTCTCTGAGTGTCTTTCTTTAGAGCAGTGGTTCTCAACCTGGGGTCCCCAGATGTTTTTGGCCTACAACTCCCAGAAATCCCAGCCAGTTTACCAGCTGTTTGGATTTCTGGGAGTTGAAGGCCAAAAACATCTGGGGACCCCAGGTTGAGAATCACTGCTTTAGAGAGATGGGGGAATGCTAATAATAATAATAATAATAATAATAATAATAATAATAATAATAATAATAATAATGGCACATTATTTTCCGATACATCACACAGGCTTAGACACTTGGAAAGTGTCTGACATATGATGAAATACAAAAACCAGCATAGTGATCTTGTTTGCTGTGTACTAATTTTGTTATGTATCAAATAATAATAACAATCTTTAAATACAGTGCATATATTTTACACAGGATGATCAATATGCTCTTGGTATGCAAGTCCCAGTAATCCAGTAGTAAAATAATGAGGGATTCTGAGAATTGCAGCCCAAAAATATCTGAAAGGTCACCATTGTTCACCCCTATTTTTATTTATTTCTTAAAAACTTTAGTATTCTGCCCTTCTCACCTCACAGGGGACTCACAACATATATACGGCAAACATTCAGTGCTGGGACATAAATCCATAAATATATACAAACATTAAAATCACTTATATCCACATTAAAAGTTGCTTAAAAACCATCTCATTTTTAGCAATTCTCTTTAGACACCCAGTTGAGTTCAGGGTTGTTGATAAAATTATGTTGAACCATAGAGTTAGAAGAGACCATCTAGTCTGATCCTAATAATAATAATAATAATAATAATAATAATACTTCATTTATATTCTGCCCTATCTCCCTGAGGGGACTCAGGGCGAATTACAGTACACATAAACAACAAACATTCAATGCTGTTACACAATAAACAAAGACAGACAGTACATAAACGGAGGTAAAGGCTTCCCATCTTTTTCCATCTCCGGCATCTGGAGGCTATGCTCGATTCTGGCCGGGGGGGAGGGGGGCTGCTGTCACTCCATCTTCCATGCCGAGGAGCTTTGTTGTCCTTAGACGGTCTCCTGATTGAATTGCTGGCACATCCTTATGGGCGTCTTTTATTACCTCTCCCCCAAGCAGTACCTATTTATCTACTCATATTACTGTTTTTTAAAAAATATTTTATTTATTTATTTGCAACATTTGTATACCGCTTTTCTCACCCCGAAGGGGACTCAAAGCTGTTTCCACATAGGTAATGGCAAAATTCAATTTTCAAACTGCTAGGTGAGCAGAAGCTGGGCTGATGGGTTGGGAGCTCACCCCAACCCGTGCTTGAACTGTCAATCTTTCAATCGGCAAGATTTTCTGCTATGCAGGAATACACAATCAAATCAGCCCTGACAGGTGGCCATCCAGCCTCTGCTGAAAAACCTTCAGAGAAGGAGACTCCACCAGACTCCAAGGCAACATATTGCAATGTAAAACATCTCTTACCATCAGGAAGTTCTTCCTAATATTAAGTGGAATCTCTTTTCCTGCAATTTGAATCCCTCGCATCATTGTGTCCTAATCACTAGAGCAGAATAAAACAAGCTTAGACCCCTCATCAGTATGACAGTGGCAGTTATAATAATAATAATAATAATAATAATAATAATAATAATAATAATAATAATAATAAAACTTTATTTGTACCCCGCTACCATCTCCCCAAGGGACTCGGTGCAGCTTACATGAGGCCGAGCCCACAACACAGCAATAACAAATAACAGTTGCTCCTATGTAGTAATCTAACAAAATCCTATATCTAGAAATCTCTTCTGTATGGTCATAATAGCTTCTGCGTCTATGAAGACACAGAAAAAAACATGTAGTTCTATAAAAATGCTGCTAGAACACGGCCATCCATCCCGGAAACCACACAACTCTCCAGCGATTCCTGCCATGAGAGCCTTCGACGATATATATAAAAATTCTAATGCAATTATTAGGAGCCCCCAGTGGTGCAAGAGCCGGAAAGACTGTTGACCAAAAGGACGGTGATTTGAATTTGGGGAGCGGAGTGAGCTCCCCTCTGTCAGCTCCAGCTTCCCATGCAGGAACATGAGAGAGAAACCTCCCACAGGATGGTAAAAAAACATCCAGGCATCCCCTGGGCAATGTTCTTGCAGGCAGCCAGTTCTCTCACACCAGAAGTGACTTGCATTTTCTAAATCGCTCCTGACACGGAAAAAAAATTACAATTATTGCTGCTCATCTTGTTTTTGAGTATTTATCTTGACTATAAAACATTTTGTTTCCATCAAACCAATAGGAAATTCAGCAGCAGAGGGCTGCCCAGAAGCTCACGTTTGCCTTCAATCAGATGAAACCCAAATCTATTCCCTACTCGCCACGGTAAGTGTCACAGAAGGGTGTCCAGTTGTGTGGGAGCTATTTGTCGCTCTGCATGGAAGCAGTCCTTATGAGAGGAGGCCAGGGGACAGATCCACCTTGTCTCCTGCATATGTCATCAGTCGGGGACCCCTCCCCCAGCACCAACAGCCGCTTTGGGCCAGAGTGAAGGGGGGGGGCAGGGGACAGTTCCACCTTGTCTCCTGTGCTATGCTAATAATATAATATAATATAATATAATATAATATAATGTAATGTAATGTAATGTAATGTAATGTAATGTAATGTAAAATAATATATATTGTGTGTGTGTATATATATATATATATATAAAAATAATATTTATAATATTATAATGTAATGCAATATAATATGATAATATGATATTATAATTATATATTTATATTACATATAATATTACTAATAGTACCGTATAATGGTATAGTACAATATAGTAATATGTAATACTGATATTGTACTATGGTAATAATATAATATATTGTGTGTGTGTGTGTGTGTGTGTATCTTGTAATTCTGTGTGTGTATATATTATATATATATATATATATATATATATATATATATATATATATATATATAATAAAGAAGAGTGTTTGTATCGGACAGAGGAATTGTGGAGGGCGGTGTATGTGGCAGCGTTCTGATTGGCTGCCGCTGTGGTGCTATTTGCATATGGTCTCTGATTGGCCAGCTTCAATAGGTAGCCCCTGGTGGAGAAGAGGGTTCATGGCAGAAACGGGGCATGACAGAAGGAAATTTGCATATGGTCTCTGATTGGCCAGCCTCAAATCCAACATTCCGAGATGAGAAAGAGAGGAAAGGAAAGGCCGGGGCCTGGGTCAGAACACTCCCAATACAGATCGAAATAGGCACACAGAGCCCCCATCACCCACTCTACATCCTACTGCAGTTTGGAGGACTATGAACCATGGATGATGGGACTTGCAGTACCACCACTCACATTCTGAGACCGCTCTCAACCTTATCCAATGACTGATCAGGACCAAACTTCGCACAGAGACCTCTCATGACCCACTTTACGTCCTGGTGTGGTTTGGCCGGGGATGGACCGTGGATTATGGGACTTGCAGTACCATTGCTCATTCTTCAGACCACTGCAACCCTCATCCAATTACCAAAAAATACCAAACTTGGCACACTGAGTCTCCATGACGCACTCTACATCCAGGTGCAGTTTGAAGGAGGATGCACCATGGACGATGGGACTTGCAATACCTGCACTCCCTTCCTAAGACCATTATAACTGCCAACAATGATGGATCAGGACCACAATTTACACAGAGAGTCCGCATAACTCACTCTACATCCTGGTGCGGTTTGGAAGAATTTGACAATGGATGATGGGACTTGCAGTCACTTCACTCACTTCCTGAGACCACTGAGACCCACGCCAATGACTCATCAAGACTAAACTTGGCACATGGAGCTTCAATGACCCACTCTACATCCTGGAGCAGTTTGGAGGACGACAGACCATGGATGATGGGACTTCAAGTACCTCCACTACCCAAGACTGCTGCAACCCTCATCTAATGTCCAAACAAAACCAAACTTGGCACACAGAGCCCCCATGACCCACTCTACATCCTAATATGGTTTGAAGTAGGGCATGCCATGGATGATGGGACTTGAAGTACCTCTACTCGCTTTCCGAGACTGCTGCAACCCTCAACAATGACTGAACAACACCAAACTTGGCACATCGACCTCTCATGACCCACTTTATGCCCTGGTGAGGTTTGACTGTGGATCGTGCATGGATTTTGGGACTTGCAGTACCTTCGCTCAATTCCTGAGACCACTGCAAAACATCATCCAATTTCCGATAAGGACCAAACTTGGCACACCGGGTCTCCATGATGCACTCTACATCCTGGTACGGTTTGGAGGATGATGCACCATGGACAATGGGACTTAGAGTACCTTCACTCAGTGAAACCACTGAGACCCTCATCCAATGACTGATGAAGACCAAACTTGGCACACAGAGCCCCCATGGCCAACTCAACATTCTGGTGAGGTTTGGGAGAGAACAGACTATGGATGATGGGACTTCAAGTACCTCCACTCACTTCCCAAGACTGGTGCAACCCTCATGTAATGACCAATCAAGACCAAACTTGGCACACAGAGCCCCCATGACCCACTCTACATCCTGCTGCAGTTTGGAGGAGGATGGACCATGGATGATGGGACTTGCAGTACCTTCACTCACTTCCTGAGACCACTGCACCCATCCAAATACCAATAAAGACCAAACTTGGCACAGAGAGCCCCCATGGCCAACTCAACATTCTGGTGATGTTTGAGGGAGACTATGAATGATGGGACTTGCAGTACCTTAACTCACTTTCTGAGTCTGCTGTGACCCTCATCCAATGACTGATCAAGACCAAACTTAGCACACAGAGCCCCCATGACCCACTCTACATCCTGCTGCAGTTTGAAAGGGGATGGACTTTGGATGATGGGACTTGCAGTACCTTCACTCACTTACTGACACCACTGCCACCCTCATCCAATGACTGATACATACCAAACTTGGCACACAGAGCCCCCATGACCCACTCTATATCCTACTGCTGTTTGTAGGAGGATGGGCTATGGATGATGGGACTTCAAGTACCTTCACTCACTTCCTGAAAATAATGCAGCCGTTATCCAAAGACCAATAAAGACCAAACTTGCCATACAGAACCGCCATTACCCACTTTCTCTAATAACCCGGGCAACGCCGGGTCCCCAAGCTAGTATATATATAAAATCTTGTAAGCCACTCTGAGTCCCTTTTGGGGTGAAAAGGGTGGCACATAAATGTCGTAAATAAAGTCATTGAGGTTCATGTGAATTGACCTTTAACATCTGTTTTTGCCAGTTTAAGCTATGATGTTTTGCATATCAGACTACATTTTCCCCAAACAGTAAAACTGTAGAATAAATTAGACCATAGCTCTTTAAACGGTGGATCCTGACCCTGAATGGGGCCCTCTTAGCTTTTGTTCGAAGCACACCAGTTCTAGCTTCTCTCTATTGGGAATATAACCTTTTGTGTTTCCACAGAAATACCAGGCTTCTTGAAATAATAATAATAATAATAATAATAATAATAATAATAATAATAAACCTTTATTTATACCCCGCTACCATCTCCCGGAGGACTCGGTGCGGCTTACAAGAGGCTGAGCCCAAATACATCTATAAAAACAACATATCAATACAGACAATAAATAAACTCATAAAACAAAGCAATAAACAGTAATAATAACACCACGACGCGTTAAAAAACCTATGGCAGGGCGAAATGTAATAATTAAAATTTTAAAATACTGGGCATGACAAGGTGACGTGAAATTTTTCACAAGGTGAAAAGGAACTTATAAAAATAAGGCAAACTCTTAGATTGGCAGGCGGTATTGTACTTAGCTATTATAAAAATCGATAGGATTTTAATTTTGTTTCACCTTGTTCTGATGCATTCTCTCCTAAGGTTCTTAGAAGTCTTCCTCTTATATTGCCACTCGGCTGGACAATGGTTTGCGGTGGAAGAGTGCATGACGGGAGAGTTCAGAAAATACAATAACAACAACGGAGATGAAATCATTCCGACCAACATGTTAGAGGAGGTCATGTTGGCCTTCAGCCACTGGACCTATGAATACACGCGAGGAGAACTCCTGGTCCTTGATTTACAAGGTAGATATGGATTGGTATAATGCAAGCATGGGCAAACTTCGGCCCTCCGAGTCTTTTGGACTTCAACTCCCACTCTTAAGATCTTCCGGGGAGGGCCTCCTTTCACTCCCACCACCGTCACAAGTAGGGTTGGTGGGGACGAGAGAGAGGGCCTTTTCAGTGGTGGCCCCCTGCCTTTGGAACACCCTCCCCAGGGGAAATTAGACAGGCCCCATCCATCCCCTCCTTTCGTAAGAGCTTGAAGACCTGGTGGTTTCAACAAGCCTTTGAGAACGACTAGTTCTAGCTCAGCCCTAGACATTGTTGAATATGGCCTTATTTTCCTACCAATTACCAAGGTCACTTCCTCTAATAGACTCCGGAAATGAACAGCTATAGACCCTTACCTATTATTGTTATTGCCTGCTATAACATTACACTTAATTCCCGCCCCCCCTAGAATTTTTGAACTTGCACTAATTTTGACCCGGCCTTTTAAATTACCTTGAACAGACAGGATTACTTTTAATATATATGTGTTATATATTTTTACGCTTATATTGTTTTGTTAATCTTATGTTTATATTGTTTACTCTGTATGTATTGATGATGGAGCGGTATATAAATAAAGTTTTATTATTATTATTATTATTATTATTATTATTATTAATTTCTAACAGTCGGTTTTTAACTTTGTTTGTGTCTTTTTAAATCCATTATAACCGTACCGCTTCTGACACGATAAATAAATAAACAAACCTTTTTACATTAGATTTACTGTCATGGCTCCTGGCTCAGAAAATGCTGGCTTTGTATATCTGTTGTTGACTCTTAAAATGAATGTGTAAACCTTCTTCTGTTTCTTATGAAGGTGTCGGAGAAAATCTGACGGATCCCTCTGTGATAAAAGCTGAAGAAAAAAGGTAAACAGGGCAAAGTCCCCCCCCCCATTTTTCCTTCGGGGGGGGGGGTATAAATATAGGAAATAAATAAAATAAATAAACAGAGCACAAATGATGGTAAACTTGGGCCCTCCAGGTGTTTTGGACTTCAACTCCCACCATTCCTAACAGCCTTTCCCCCCTCAGCCGCTTAAGCGGCTGAGGGTGGAAAGGCTGTTAGGAATGGTGGGAGTTGAAGTCCAAAACACCTGGAGGGCCCAAGTTTGCCCATGCCTGGTTTAACCTATCAATTCATTAGACAACAGGTTTCTGATGGTATTGCCTCACCATCCCTATATTGTGACACCCCTAAACTGAGAACCCTCAAACTGTACAAGCAACAAAAGACGCATGTGTGGCTTTCGGCATTTTTAATGGCGTCCTTTGTTTTCAAGGTCAAGTGATATGGTATTTGGTCCAGCAAATCTAGGAGAGGATGCCATCAAGAACTTCAGAGCGAAGCACCACTGCAATTCGTGCTGCAGGAAACTGAAGCTCCCAGGTAACAACGGCCCTCATTTACAAGAGAGAATTTCTTTGTTTTTACGTAGCTTCCCCTTGTGATAGAATAGAAACTCCAACCTAGCAGTTCGAAAACATGCAAATGTGAGCAGGTCTTCTGTGGAAATGTGATGGCGCTCCATGCAATCATGCTGGCCACATGACCTTGGAGGTGTCCACAGACAAAACTGGCTCTTCAGCTTAGAAATGTAGATGAGCACCACCGCCCCAGAGTCGGTCACAACTAGACCTTTACCTGTACTTTGAAGGCATCCATGAGTTCTGATGTAGCGCTCCATGAAAATGATATTTGACACCCCCTGCCACGCGTTGCTGGGGCACACATGGGGGTTCTGTGTGGGAGGTTTGATCCAATTCTATTGTTGGTGGGATTCAGAATGCTCTGTGATTGTAGGTGAACTATAAATCCCAGCAACTACAACTCCCGAATGTCAAGATTCTATTTTCACCAAACTCCACCAATGTTCACATTTGGGCATATTGAGTATTCGTGTAGAGTTTGGTCCAGTTCCATCATTGTTTGAGTTCACAGCGTTCTCTGGATGTAGGTGAACTACAACTCCCAAACTCAAGGTCAATGCGCACCAAACCCTTCCAGTATTTTCTGTTGGTCATGGGAGTTCTGTGTGGGATGTTAGGCCCAATTCCATCGTTGGTGGAGTTCATAATACTCTTTGATTGTAGGAGGACTATAAATCCCAGCAACTACAACTCCCAAATAACAAAATCAATCCTCCACAACCCCACCAGTATTCAAATGTGGGTATATTGAATATTTGTGCCAAATTTGATCCAGTGAATAAAAATACATCCTGAGTGAAGGACATACATTGCGTTTTTAGGTATCTTGTGTCCAAATTTGGTGCCAATTCATCCAGTGGTTTTTGATTTCTGTTAATCCCACAAATGAACATTACATTTTTATTTATATAGATTAGTATAGCACAGGAGATAAGATGGAACTGTCCCCTGGCCCCCTTTCTCTTCAATCTGGCCCAAAGCGGTAGTTGGTATTGGGCGAGGAGGGGTCCTATTTATGGACTGAGAATTGCCTAGAGTTGCTGTGCTGGAAGGGAGTTGCACATACATTCGTTGCTAATGTATTCATGTATATTTCTTGTCCACCCTGCATCCCTTTCTGGGTGTTCTGGGTATTTGTTTTCTGTATTGTCGAAGGCTTTCATGGCTGGAATCACTAGGTTGTTGTAGGTTTTTTCGGACTATATGGCCATGTTCTAGAGGCATTTCTCCTGAAGTTTCGCCTGCATCTATGGCAAGCATCCTCAGAGGTAGTGAGGATGCTTGCCACAGATGCAGGCAAAATGTTAGGAGAAATGCCTCTAGAACATGGCCATATAGCCTGAAAAAACCTACAACAACCTGGTGTTTGTTTTGTTTTTCTGTTTGCAGATTTGAAGAGGAATGACTACACCCCCGATAAAATCCTGCTGCCTCAAGACGACTCTCCAGAACTGACCATTCAGCCTGGGAGCTGCACCAAAGAATTGGACTCTGCCGGTTCCAGTCATTTGATGCTGTGACGATACACACCGCTCTCGGGCTTTAACCTAACGTTTGCCGAAGCCACAGGGTTCCCTCCATTTTCTCGCTCCTGCAAAATGGCAGAAATGTTTCATCAAAGCAAAACAAAATGGAGACAGGACTAAGGACCGCCGGGTTGAGATGGCTCCGGTGCCGTCAAGTGACCCGTAGCGGCATGAGGGAATCGCCTGGGAAGGAGTGGCTGACAGTGAGTGATTCCTCCCCCTTTTAAAGATTGAATGGAATTAAGTATTTATGAAATCGCTTTTTAAAAAAGAAGCATTTTAGCCGAAGGAATACCTTTTACCTTTTATCTTGGTCCACGGAGGGGGGTTTTCCCCCCTTCCTTCACCTGTAGTGCAATATGCCCTAACCGAATGATGTGTTTCTTTTTGGTCCTTGATGGTTTTAAAGGCAGATTATGTCGGGCTTTTTGGCAGCTGGTTTCTGTCATCTGGCTAGAGAAATGGGAACGAGGCCCCCTCCCAGTCCCAGAGATATACCGAAGGATTCTCTCCTCAGGGTGTTGCAGATAATGTGCTTTCGGCTCAGCGCCGTGTATGTTTTTTTATGTGGCTCCGTGGAACTCTCCTGCCCCGTGGTGCCAGTCGGGAGCAGGAAACGCTTTGGTCCCGATCAAGAAGGAGCAGCGGCTTGTCTCCTGCATCAGGATTCACCCTCCGACGCGTGGAACCCGTTTCCGCGGGATGGATGTGCATCACAAACCCCCCTCCCTTTCAAAAGAAAACACCACACATTTCAGCTTTATTAAGTCACGTCAACAAGAGTAGTCAAACCACACAGGTTGGGAGACAGAGGGCGGGTCTCTTCAGGGCGAAATAGCACAGAAGACGTTGCCTTGCGAAACAAAACCGGGGTTTGGAAAGTGCCGTTTCTCTTTTTTGCAAAGTGGCTGCTTCGGAAGGGTCGCCTTCCAAAGATCTCCTAAAAAAAACCCAGTATATGAATGGCGAATGTATGTGTGAACATTTTAGGTCCCTTTCGGGTGTTATTATACCCCAGCCGTCGTGTGTGGTTGGGTAAGAAGCATCCGGTTACATGGGATGAGCCTTTGCCCAGGTTCCTTGCCAGGCCAGCGTGGTTTCCATTGGGATAATGCTGGCTTATTTGGGGCCGCTCCCTTGTAACACCCTTCTCACTACTGTTAGGAACCGTAACATCCGAAGGGGACCCTTAAGTTGTATTTACTATTGTGCGAAAACACCTTTAATGTTATATGTGGAACTTATTTAAGAGAATATAAAATAAGAGTTGGATTTACATTATGTACCGTACGGGAGATTGCAATGCAACTTGATGCCAATAACATGTAAGTTACCTGTCCCAAATATGTTGGAATACTCAACGAGATGAACCTGTCGTCCAACCGAAGTTTCATGCTGCAACTTTTTTTTTTTGTTTGTTACATAGGTACGAATTGTCATTTTTAAATGGAAAGGCATCGTAAATGCCCGGTAATTCTTTTTTTAAAAAATCCGTAGTGTATCTTATAGATACAGACATTAAGGCACGAACACAGTAGCTGTTTCAATGGTGGTTTATTGTCGCTGGCGGGGGGGAGGAGGGGGGGATGAAAAGTATAGTGTATTTAAGATATTAAAGTGTATACATTTTGTATATCAAGTCTTTAAACAATCCCAAATAAATTTATTCTTGTTTAGACTGCTGAGCTCCTTCCTGACTTGATTTGATTTGGTCTTAGATGGAACAAGGAGAGGCAGCCTGGTCTAGTGCATTGAGCGTTGGGCTGGAAGACAGTGATAGGTTTGTCTTAGAAACAACTAGAAGGCACACAACAACTAAAAGAAATGTAGAGGACAGATAAAATCTTGTTGAAGTTTGCTGTGCATTTTTCGGGTTGTATGGCCGTGTTCCAGAAGCATTCTCTCCTGAAGTTTTGCCCACATCTATGGTAAATATCCTCAGAGTTGGAGGGGGTCAGTTGGAAACTAAGTAAGTGAGGCCAACTATGGAAAGGACTTAAACCCCCCCCCCCAAAAGCTAAATGACATACAGAAAAAAAGGGAAGGAAGAGGGAGGGATGGATGGGGAAAAGAAAGAAAGAAGGAAAGGAAAGAGAGAGAGAGAGAAGGAAGGAAGGAAGCATGGAAGCAAAGAGCGAAGGAAGGAAAAAAGTAGAGAAGGAAGAAAGGAGAGAAAGACGAAAAGAAAAGGGGGCATGGAAAGAAAGGGGTAGAGGAAGAAGGAAGGAGAGAAGGAAAGAAAAAAGGAAAGAGGTAGCGAAGGAAGGAGGGAAAGGAGAAAAAGAGGGAGGGAAGGAAAGACAGAAGGAAGGATGGAAGCAAAAAGCAAAGGAAGGAAGGAAAGAGGCAGAGAAGGAAGAAGGAAAAAGGGAAGGAAAAGGAAAAGGGAAGAAGAAAGGGGAAGGAAGGAAAGAAGAGAAAGAGGGAGGGAAGGTTGGCTACAGCAACGCGTGGCAGGTTCAGCTAGTTCCACAGATATATAAACCTCACTTACTTAATTTCCAACAGACCTCACTACATCTGAGCATGCCTGCCTCCTCCTCCTCCTCCTCTTATCTTTTTCACTTATTGGGAATGGAGAGAGAGTTGGGGAGTGCTCTTTTAATGAAGGGGAAATGCTGGAGGAAAAGGGGGTGTTGGATAAGATGAAATGTCAGATAAGCGAGATTCTACTGTATCTTCTTGGGGATTGAATTTGTGGGCATGGATGACTGTGGATATATGTCCCTCTCGGCCTCAGAGAAAGGCAAAGACAAAGAACCGTCTGAACAAATTTTGCTGAGAAAACCTTGTCAAAAGGCTTTATTTACTTACTTACTTACTTACTTACTACATTAATATGCCACCCTTCTCACCCCAAAGGGGACTCAAGCCAAACAAGAACAACGTGCTTTTTTGCCGTGTTATTTATGCATCGCCAACCTGATTAGAAAGGGAGAGGAATTTTGCCACCAAATTGCACTGCACTTATTTTGCGTTGGAAACCTGAATCTAGATGGCTAATGTGAGGTTATCACACTGCGCACATTTTAGAAGAGGATGTGATTGTTGGAAACGAAGATAATGTTTGGCAAAGTGGACAGTGCTAGGACAAGAGAAAGACTCCATTACAGAGTCTAGAACAGGCATGGCGTAGGAACCCCCGGTGGCGCAGTGAGTTAAAGCGCTGAGCTGCTGAACTTGCTGATCAAAAGGTCGCAGCTTTGAATCCATGGAGTAGCGTGAGCTCCCGATGTTAGCTGCAGCTTCTGCCAACCTAGTAGTTCGAAAACATGCAAATGTGAGTAGATAAATAGGTACCGCTCCGGCAGAAAGGTAACATCATGCCATGCAGTCATGCCGGCCACATGACCTTGGAGGTGTCTACGGACAACGCCGGCTCTTCGGCTTAGAAAAGGAGATGAGCACCAACCCCAAGAGTCGGACACAACTGGACTTAACGTCAGAGAAATACCTTTACCTTTACCTACCAGGCATGGCAAACTTTTTTGCCTTGGGGATGCACTGTGGGCATACTCCTTCCCATCCTCCTCCTCCTCGTTCCTCAGGCTGTCCTCTTGGAATTATGCCCAGAGGAGTGCGAGATAGTTGGCAGCTGAGTGTGCTCTGGAGTACTCTCAGCCATCGCGTGACTTCCTCAAGCCTTCTTCCTGGCATAAGGATGGGGTAACTTGCATCATCCTTATGCTGGGAGAAGGGTAAGACACACAGTGAATGAGAGGACTCTCAGTTGCTACACACCTTCCTCCTTCATCTCTTTTTGGCATAAGGCTGCAGTAGACCACTGTGTCCTTAAGCCAAGAGGGCAGGGAAAATGGGGCAGGCCTGAGGTAAGTGCCCAGAAGGATGTGTCCGGCCCCTGGGCCTAAGTTTGTCCATGCCTGATTTATAACAAGCCATAAGTTAACACAGTGTTTCTCAACCTGGGGGTCAGGACCCCTGTGGGGGTCGCGAGGGGGTGTCAGAGGGGTCGCCAAAGACCATCAGAAAACATAGTATTTTCTGTTGGTCATGGGGGTTCTGTGTGGAAAGTTTGATCCAATTCTATCGGTGGGGTTCAGAATGTCTTTGATTGTAGGTGAACTATAAATCCCAGTAACTACAACTCCCAAATGTCAAAGTCTATTCCCCCCAAAACTCCATCTGTGTTCATATTTGGGCATATTGAGTGCTTGTGCCAAGTTTGGTCCAGATCCATCATTGTTTGAGTCCACGGTGCTCTCTAGATGTAGGTGAACTACAACTCCCAAATGCTCTTTGATTGTAGGAGAACTATAAATCCCAGCAACTACAACTCCCAAATGTCAAGGTCTATTTTCCCCAAACTCCACCAGTGTTCACATTTGGGCATATTGAGTATTTGTGCCAAGTTTGGTCCAGATCCATCATTGTTTGAATCCACAGTGCTCTCTGGATGTAGGTGAACTACAACTCCAAAAATTCAAGGTCAATGTCCACCAGACCCTCCCAGTATTTCCTCTTGGTCATGGGAGTTCTGTGTGCCAAGTTTGGTTCAATTCCATTGTTGGTGAACTTCAGAATACTCTTTGATTGTAGGTGAACTATAAATCCCAGCAACTACAACTCCAATAGACAAAATAAATCCCCCCAACCCCACCAGTATTCAAATTTGGGCGTATCTGGTATTTGGGCCAAATTTGGTCCAGTGAATGAAAATCCATCCTGCATATCAGATATTTACATTACAATTCATAACAGTAGCAAAATGACAGTGATGAAGTAGCAACGAAAATAATGTTTATGGTTGGGGGTCACCACCACATGAGGGACTCTATTAAGGGGTCACGGCATTAGGAAGGTTGAGAACCACTGAGTTAACAGAACCTGAGTAGAACTACTGATGGTCAGGGCTCTTGCAGACCTTGTTCACGGAGTTGCAGCAAACATGATAAAGAAGACATTCACAAGACTTACATTACTCTGCTCAGGGCCAGAGTGAAGGGGGGGGGGGGCAGGGGACCTCAGTTCCATCTTGTCTCTTGCATATGTCATCAGTTGGGGACCCCCCCCCCAGCACCAATGCTGCTCTGGGCCAGAGTGAAGAGGGGGGGGGGGGGCAGAAGACAGTTCCACCTTGTCTCCTGTGCTATGTTAATAATATAATACCAGCTGTATATATGCTCTGTGCATAATGAGTACCTTAAAAACAAAAGAACCAATGATCGAAATCACACCAAATTTGGCAACAAAACGTCTCACTACAAAAGGAGTGACCATCACTCAAAAAATTATGATTTTGTCATTTGGGAGTTGTAGTTGCTGGGATTTATAGTTCACCTACACTCAAAGAGCATTCTGAACTCCACCAATGATGGAATTGAACCAAACTTGGCACACAGAACTCCATGACCAACAGAAAATACTGGAAAAGTTTGGTGGGCATTGACCTTGAGTTTTGGAGTTGTAGTTCACCTACATCCAGAGAGCACTGTGGACTCAAACAATGATGGATCTGAACCAAACTTGGCATGGATATTCCATATGCCCAAATAGGAATACAGATGGAGTTTGGGGGAAATAGACCTTGGCATTTGGGAGTTGTAGTTACTGGGATTTATAGTTGACCTACAATCAAAGAGCATTCTGAATGAACCCCACGAATGACAGAACTGGGGCAAACTTCTCACACAGAACCCCCATGACAAAGAGAAAATACTTAAGGCCATCCAGTCCAACTCCCTTCAGCAGGGCAAGAAAACGTAATCAAAGCCCTCCTGCCAGAGAGCCATCCAGCCATATATATAGATAGATAGATATAATTCACACACACACAGATATAGTATCATAGATTTGAAAGGGACCCCTAAAGAAGGACAATTATATGTTGCATGTTCCAGAGTAGGCAAACCAGACAATCTCTACGTCTACGTCAACACTGACAAAGAAACATCAAGAAATAGTTTACCCACAAGCATAAAGAAATTACATATATTAGAAATCAACACTTTCTAATTACTTTATTTTCCAGATCAACAGACTGAGCCACAGCAACGCGTGGCAGGGGACAGCTAGTAATGTAATACAATATATTATATACACATAAAATATTAAAATGTAATGCAATATAAAGGCCCCCGGTGGTGCAATGGGTTAAAGCACTGAGCTGCTGAGCTTGTTGACCAAAAGGTCGCAGGTTCGATTCCGGGGAGCGGCGTGAGCTTCCGCTGTCAGCCCCAGCTTCTGCCAACCTAGCAGTTCGAAAACATGCGAATCAATAGGTACCGCTCCGGCGGGAAGGTAAGGGCGCTCCATGCAGTTATGCCGGCCACATAACCTTGGAGGTGTCTGCGGACAACGCTGGCTCTTCGGCTTAGAAATGGAGATGAGCACCACACCCCAGAGTCGGACACAACTGGACATCATGTCAGGGGAAAACCTTTACCTTTACTTAGCAAAGATTGGGGGGGGGTGTCATTAATATAGGGTAATATAATATTTTGGAGCCCCCGGTAGTGCAGTGGGTTAAACCCCTGTGCTGGCAGGACTGAAGACCGACAGGTCGCAGGTTCGAATCCGGGGAGAGGCGGAGGAGCTCCCTCTATCAGCTCCAGCTCCTCATGCGGGGACATGAGAGAAGCCTCCCACAAGGATGATAAAAACATCAAATCATCTGGGCATCCCCTGGGCAACATCCTTGCAGACGGCCAATTCTCTCACACCAGAAGCGACTTGCAGTTTCTCAGGTCGCTCCTGACATGACAAATATATATATATATGTGTGTGTATGTATATATATATAGTATATACATGTAATATTTATAATATTATAATGTAATGCAATATAATCCTAATAATAATAATAAAATATGATATTATAATTATATATTTATATATATAATGGTATAGTACAATATAGTAATATTTAATACTGATATTGTACTATGCTAATAATATAATATATTGTATGTATATATATATCTTGTAAGCCGCTCTGAGTCCCCTTCGGGGTGAGAAGGCCGGCATATAAATGTCGTAAATAAATAAATTAACTTGCTGCATGAATATACATTACATTACTGCACTAAAAAGTTAACCAAAATAAATGTGTGTTATGTGCTTTCTTTAAGTCACCTGTCGACTTATGGCAAACCCATGAATTTCACAGGCAGGAAATCCTCCAAAATAATTTTTGTGAGATCCTTCCTCACAAATATAGCCTATAGCACCTAGTCTCCCATTTACGCATTTACGCAGTGGACTTCCAAGATCAGATGGAGTTGTGGCTGAAATTTTCCACCTGTAGTTTCACTGTTTCTTCTTCCTCCCTTGTCCCAATCTTGAGCTTGACCTCTTCATCTGGACATCTGGACCATCCTCATTTGTCTGCAGTAGCTTGAAGCTCAGGAGTTGGTAGACTTGGTGCGGTTGAAGCGTGAGACATCCCTGAAAAGCGACCAAGTGGAACCAGAGAGGTTTAGGTTCTGGAATGGCACAGCCTTCCATCTTGTCCAGAAAAACCACAACAGCATTGCCTAGCAACAAGGTAGAGTGAGTGCATTTATGATGCCGGAGGAATCCATGTCGGAATTCCATGGTGAGCCGTAAGAGACAAGCCCGTGCATTGGGGGCCTTGTGTGTCAGATGACACCATGCAACTTCACAAAAAAGCAGGGAAATCCAGCCTCAAAATGAAGCAGAGGTGGTAAGTTGGCTCCCCTTCAAAATCCAGCAAGAGAACCATTTTCATTCCTTGCAAACCGGCTAATGGCTTCCAGTTCAACAAAGATGCCAGACGACTTCAACATATTTTACCTTCTGTGAGTTTCTCTTTTAACTTACTTACTATTTAAGGAGGCAAAGGGTGGTGGTGGGGGGCACTCCATGCATTTCTATGTGAATTTCCACTGGATGGAGCTGGACAGGCTGCAGGGGGGACCGCTGAGGGGTGGCTGAGCCTGTGCCCTACTCTTCCGACACTCAAAGATGTATTTCTTGTATAATGTATTGTCGAAGGCTTTCATGGCTGGAATCACTAAGTTCTTGTGGGTTTTTTCGGGCTATAGGGCCATGTTGTAGAGGCATTTCTCCTGACGTTTCGCCTGCATCTATGGCAAGCATCCTCAGAGGTAGTGAGGTCTCTTGGAATTAGGAAAATGGGTTTATATATCTGTGGAATGGCTGGGGTGGGGCAAAGAGCTCTTCTCTGCCGGAGCTAGGTGTGAATGTTTCAACTGACCACCTTCATTAGCATTTGAAGGCCTGGCTGAGCCAGGGAAAATCTTTTGTTGAGAGGTGTTAAGATGTGCCTGGTTGTTTCCTCTCTGCTGTTTTGCTGTTGTAATTTTAGAGTTTTTTAATACTGGTAGCCAGATTTTGTTCATTTTCATGGTCTCTTCCTTTCTGTTGAAATTGGTCAGTTGAAACATTCACACCTAGCTCCAGCAGACAAGAGTCCTTTGTCCCACCCTGGTCATTCCACAGATATATAAACCCTTTTTCCTAGTTCCAACAGACCTCACTACCTCTGAGGATGCTTGCCATAGATGCAGGCGAAACGTCAGGAGAAATGCCTCTAGAACATGGCCCTATAGCCCGAAAAAACCCACAAGAACCTATTTCTTGTATAGCTGAAATATTGTTTTAGAAAAAGCAACATTGGTAACGCTGACTTTTATACACTGACTGTATAAAAACAGGAGCAATTGTTGGGCGTGTGGGCTTATTAACAAAAGATCCTCCCCATAAATGCATAGCAGAGTAACTTATTAGCAGCAGCGTGACCCAGCACCAGTAGCCCAAAGCGATAAAAAGAACCAAAACACACAGACCAATGTTATCTCTTCCATAGGAGGCTTTTCTTTATACCAAAATAATATGGTTGCACTATTTATATGGTTGAGTTTTGGAGTTGTAGTTCACCTACATCCAGAGAGCACTGTGAACTCAAGCAGTGGTACATCTGGACCAAACTTGGCACAGATATTCAATATGCCCAAATGTGAACATTGGTGGATTTTGGGGAAAGTAGACCTTGACATTTGGGAGTTGTAGTTGCAGGGATTTATAGTTCACCTACAATCAAAGAGCATTGTAGGTGAATTGGACTTCCCACACACAACCCCCATGACCAACAGAAAATACTGTTTTTTCTGATGGTGTTTGGTGACCCCTCTGACCCCCCAGGGGTCCTGACCCCCAGGTTGCGAAACACTGTTCTAGCTAGACCAAAGAATCATGCATTGTTCCAATGTACTCAAGCAAGCTGTCTTGGATCATTGGATCAAAGCGATAAAAAGAACCAAAACACACAGACCAATGTTATCTCTTCCATAGGAGGCTTTTCTTTATACCAAAATAATATGGTTGCACTATTTACAAGAACAAGGTTTCCATAACACAAATAAAGTTCTTTATACTTCCTTCTTTGCTTCCACGCTGGGCTTCTTTCTCATGCAGATAAACAGCTTCACTCTCACAGAGCCTCCTCTCACACCAAAGTTACACAGAAGCTTCACACAGTAGCTTTTTACACACTGAGGCCTTCACACACTGAGGCCTTCACACACTGAGGCCTTCACACACGATGGCTTTCAACCTAGGGCTTCTCTCACAGAAGCTTCTCATACCACGCCTTCTCATACTAAGGTCTACTAACACTGAGGCCTTTCTCCCACTGAGGCCTCTCTCAGATTGACGCCTCCTATATACTGAGGTGAACTAATAATAATAATAATAATAATCTTTATTTGTACCCCGCCACCATCTTCCCGATGCGGACTCGGAGCGGCTTACATGGGGCCAAGCCCGAACAACAAATACAATAAAGAACGACCAAATGCAAACCGAAAACGCAAACAATAAACATCATAATTACAAAAAACATATGAATATACAACAATATAAAATTACAATAAACACAAACGCAGTGACAATGGGCGGGCCACATGTAATGATTAAAAGAAGAACTAATTAAAACTGGTTAAAAACTCGGGTGAGATAAAAGAGAAACAGATTGTTTGTGGAGGAGGGCTCATTATGGTGGGAGTTGTGGAATCAAGCTTTCCCACAAGGGGGAATATATACTCCAGTGATAGAACTTTGCACATGAGGGATAATGTAGGATTGAGTACCTATTCACCAAAAGCGCAACGGAAGAGCCAGGTTTTGAGGTTCTTTTTAAAAGTGTCTAACACTGAGGCCTTCTCATACTGAGGCCTACTAACACACTGGGACCCTTCTTCCACAGAGACCTCTCGCAGACTGAGGGCTACTAAGCCACAGGCATAACTGCTTACATTGAACTGCAGTCATTGTATCCATTCTCTATTTAGTTAATTTTTAATATTTCTGACAATATTTTCCTGGAATATTGTGTCTTAATTTGACTGAGATCATCCTTAAAATATCTGCGTATGTCATTTTACTGTAAGTAAAGGTTTTCCCCTGACATTAAGTCCAGTGGTGTCCGACTCTGGGGTGTGGTGCTCATCTCCATTTCTAAGCCGAAGAGCCGGCGTTGTCCGTAGACACCTCCAAGGTCATGTGGCCAGCATGACTGCATGGAGCACGATTTTGCTGTAGCATGCATAAAATATGTATTGTCCACCATAGTTAGAGAGCCCCCGGTGGCGCAGTGGGTTAAACCCCTGTGCCGGCAGGACTGAAGACCGACAGGTCGCAGGTTCGAATCTGGGGAGAGGCGGATGAGCTCCCTCTATTAGCTTCAGCTCCTCATGCGGGGACATGAGAGAAACCTCCCACAAGGATGATAAAACATCAAAAATCATCCAGGTGTCCCCTGGGCAACGTCCTTGCAGACAGCCAATTCTCTCACAACAGGAGGATTTTCTCCCACTGAGGCCTCTCTCTGAGAGAAACTAACACTGAGGCACCCTAAGTTACCGGCCCACCTGCTAATATTGAACAACAGCTTTCAATGCTTGACTCACATTTTTGTAATTTAAAATACCTAGTTAATTTTTAATATTTCTAACAATTACGTTATAATCAAACCACAATGCTGTGGTTCAACATTGGTGCAAGACGCGTAATGGCACCGCTCTCTGAAACATAAAATGAGTATAGAGGATTGTATTCGATCTGTCTTGAAGATTCCCTTAAGTTGTACTTCAATCGGTGTCTGTCTGTGTCCGGTACGTTGTCGCCACACGACCCACATTTTTTAAAGAAAGAGGTGGTACTCATGGTTAAGAAAGACTGGCCTGAGAATTATCCGAATCCGGTTAAGGGTGGAGAGAGACAGCAGAGTCCGTAAGCAAGCCAAGGTCGAAGAATCCGGTAGTGAACAGTAGAAAAATAAGCCGAAAACGGTCAAAGACTAGAGAGGCTCCTAAAGCTGCTGCTGCGGAAAAAGGAACTAAGGCACAGTCCCCGCTGTGGGCATTTATAGTATTGGGGAGAGTGGGCGGGGCCTCTGCCAAAAATTTACAAAATTCTAGAAGGTTCCAAACAGCTGTGCATGCGCAGAAATAAAACCCATTATGTGCATCTTTCACAGACTACACGAAGAGGAATGGGTACATAAAACTGCACTTTCTCACTGATGTTTTTTTCATAGTGGGAGTGGGGTGGGGGGGGGGGATCCTCACATGTTTGACGTCATTTGGCCTTTGGTAACGCAGCAAGGGTGTCCTTCCCTTGGAGACATCAGAGGAGCCTATGGATGAATCCAGAGACGAGACAAACCCGCAGTACCAAGGACTCACTGGCCTCCGAAACCTGGGCAATACCTGTTACATGAATGCGGTGATACAGTGCCTCTCCAGCGTATGCCCGCTGGTCGAATATTTCCTCTCTGGGAGATACACAGCAGCACTGGACAAGTAAGTTGACGGGTTGTTCTTCATTTTCCAAAGTTAGTATGTTTTGAAGGGTTTAGGTTGGCAAATAGAGTAGTCAGTAGTAATTCTCAACGTTCCTAATGCCCCGACCTCTTAATACAGTTCCTCATGTTGTGGTGACCCCCAACCATAACATTATTTTTGTTACTACTTTATTACTGTAATTTTGCCACTGTTCTGAATTGTCATGTAAATATCAGATATACAGGATGTATTTTCATTCACTAGGCCAAATTTGGCACACATACCCAAGACACTCAAATTTCAATACTGGTGGGGTTGGAGAGGATTGATTTTGTCATGTGAGAGTTGTTGCTGGGATTTATAGTTCACCTACAATCAAAGAGCATACTGAACTCCACCAATGATGAAATTAAACCAAACTTGGCATACAGAACTCCCATGACTAACAGAAAATACTGGCAGGGTTTGGTGGGTGTTGACCTTGAGTTTTGGAGTTGTAGTTCACCTACATTCAACAATGATGGATCTGGACCAAACTTGGCACGAATACTCAATATCCCCAAATGTGAATACTGATGGAGGCTGTGAAAAATAGACTTGACATTTGGGAGTTGTAGTTGCTGGGATTTATAGTTAACCTACAATCAAAGAGCTTTTTGAACACCACCAACAATTGAATTGAACTAAACTTGGCACACAGAACTGCCATGACTAACAGAAAATCCTGGAAGGGTTTGATGGGCATTAACCTTGAGTTTTGGAGTTGCAGTTCACCTACATCCAGAGAGCACTGTGGACTCCGGCAATGATGGATCTAGACCAAACTTGGAACACATATAAACTCAATATGCCCAAATGTGAACACTGGTAGATTTGGGGGAAAATAGACCTTGACATTTGGGAGTTGTAGTTGCTGGGATTTATAGTTCAACTACAATCAAAGAGCATTCTGAACACCACCAAGGATGAAATTGAACCAAACTTGACACTCAGAACTCCCATGACTAACAGAAAATACTGGAAGGGTTTGGTGGGCATTGACCTTGAGTTTTGGAGTTGTAGTTCACCTACATCCAGAGAACACTGTGAACTCAAATAATGATGGATCTGGACCAAACTTGGCACAGTTATTCAATATGCCCAAATGGGAACATTGGTGGATTTTGGGGAAAGTGGACCTTGACATTTGGGAGTTGTAGTTGCGGGGATTTATAGTTCACCTACAATCAAAGAGCATTGTGATCCCCACCAACGATAGAATTGGACTTCCCACACACAACCCCCATAACCAACAGAAAATACTGTTTTTTCTGATGGTCTTTGGTGACCCCTCTGACCCTCCAGGGGTCCCGACCCCCAGGTTGCGAAACACTGTTCTAGCTAGACCAAAGAATCATGCATTCTTCCAATGTACTCAAGCAAGCTGTCTTGGATCATTGTTTCTCATTGTGTCAGGAACAATGGGGAGATTGCAACAGCCTTTGCTTACCTGATGAACGACATGTGGCTGGGGGACTTTGACTGCGTGTCCCCAGAGGTCTTCAGACTGGTAATTGGTGAACGGTACCCGGCGTTCATCAAGAAAACCCAGCAGGATGCGCAAGAGTTCCTGATTTATGTCTTGAATGAGCTGCACGAAGCACTGAAAAAGGTGAGGCGCATGCCAAAGATGCCCGAGAGGAGAACAACAACACTGGTGCTTGAGGCAGGTGTGAATGTTGCAATTGGTCAGCTTGATGATGCCAATGCCTGGCTGATTGCTGCCTGGGGATCCTTTGTTGGGAGGTGTTAGCTGGCCCTGATTGTTTCCTCTCTGGAATTCACCCAGGCAGGAAGCAGCCAGGCTTTGAAGCTGCAAGCCTACTTTCCAGCAGATCTCACAACCTTTGAGGATACCTGCCATAGATGCAGGCGAAATGTCAGGAGAGAATGCTTCTGAAACATGGCCAGACAGCCCAGAAAACTCACATCAACTCAACTAATATATTTTTTGTACTGTCAAAGGCTTTCATGGCTGGAATCACTGGGTTGTTGTAGGTTTTTCAGACTATATGGCCATGTTGTAGAAGCATTCTCTCCTGACGTTTCGCCTGCATCTATGGCAAGCATCCTCACAACGTCCGAGGATGCTTGCCATAGATCAGTGGTTCCCAACTTGTGGGTCTCCAGGTGTTTTGGCCTACAAGTCCCAGAAATCCCAGCCAGTTTACCAGCTGTTAGGATTTCTGGGAGTTGAAGGCCAAAGCATCTGGGGACCCACAGGTTGAGAACCACTGCCATAGATGCAGGCAAAACATCAGGAGAGAATGCTTCTAGAACATGGCCATATAGCCTGAAAAACCTACAACAACCCAATATATTTTTTTCCAAACTATTATTTGAGTGATCGAAGATCGAATTATCTTTTCAATGAATGTATTATAGGCCTCCAAACCACTGCTTAACAACTTCAGTAGAGAACTAGAAGTTCCAACTTTTCTCCCAACCTAATTCAAAACATTGGAAAAGTTCTTAGAACAGTAAAGAAAAGCCAGTTGATACGATTAGTGATGCGGTCCTTCTCTCTCTCTCTCTCTCTCTCTTTGTAGACAAGCAAGAGAAGGAACCAAGGGTCCTCCTCTTCCACCTGGGATTCCAGGGGGACTTATGTCAGCGAGTCCTCCATCATCACCCGGCTTTTTGAAGGACATCTCAGCTATGACATCATGTGTTTGGAGTGTCAAAACACCACTTACAAAAACGAGATCTTCACCGTGTTATCGCTTCCCATCCCGTATGAGACCGAATGCTCACTAGAGGTAGGGGGTTTTGTCATTTGGGAGTTGTAGTTGCTGGGATTTATAGTTCACCTACAATCAAAGAGCATTCTGAATTCCACCAAGGATGGAATTGAACCAAACTTGACACACAGGACTCCCATGACCAAGAGAAAGTACTGGAAGGGTTTGGTGGGCATTGACCTTGAGTTTTGGAGTTGTAGTTCACCTACATCCAGAGAGCACTGTGGACTCCCAACAATGATGGATCTAGACCAAACTTGGAACACATAAACTCAATATGCCCAAATGTGAACACTGGTGGATTTTAGGAAAACTAGACCTTGACATTTGGGAGTTGTAGTTTCTGGGATTTATAGTTCATCTATAATCAAAGAGCACTGTGGACTCCAACAATGATGGATCTGGACCAAACTTGGCATGGATACTCAATATGCCTAAATGTGAACAGTGGTGGAGTTTGGGGGAAATAAACATTGATATTTGGGAGTTGTAGTTTCTGGGATTTATAGTTCACCTACAATCAAAGATAATTCTGAACCCCACCAAAATTCCCACACAGAACCCCCATAACCAAAAGAAAATACTGTGTTTTCTGAAGGTCTTTGGCAACCCCTCTGCTACCCCCTCACAACCCCTCCTGACCCCTAGGTTGAGAAACATTGGGTTAAACCCTTCTGCCGGCAGGACTGGACGACTGACAGGTTGGCAGTTTGAATTTGGTGAGCAGGGTAAGCTCCCTTCTGTTGAGCTCTAGCTTCTCATGTGGGGACATGAGAGAAGCCTCCTACAAGATAGTAAAACATCAATCATCTGGGTGTCCCCTAGGGCAACATCCTTGCAGACTGCCAATTCTCTCACACCAGAAGTGACTTGCAGTTTCACAAGTTGCTTCTGATACGAAAAAAATAATAATGATGGAGGGCCAACTTAAGCCAAACTCGCCACTTCCAATGCTCGCAATTCACCCTGTTGTTGTTCATGCAGTGATATGAAAGGATCAGTAACAGCTTTTTATGTGCAATACTGGAGCCCCCAGTGGCGCAGTGGGTTATAGTTCGAATCTGCGGAGAGCGCGGATGAGCTCCCTCTGTCAGCTCCAGCTCTCCATGCAGGGACATGAGAGAAGCCTCCCACAAAGGTGGTAAAACATCAAAACATCTGGGTGTCCTTGGGCAACGTCCTTGCAGACAGTCAATTCTCTAAGCCCCTGTGGAGGTTTGAATCTGGGGAGAGGGTGGATGAGCTCCCTCTATCAGCTCCAGCTCTCCATGGGGGGACATGAGAGAAGCCTCCCACAAAGGTGGTAAAACATCAAAACATCTGGGCGTCCCCTGGGCAACGTCCTTGCAGACGGCCAATTCTCTGAAAGCTGACAGGTTGCAGGTTCAAATGGGAGAGGGTGGATGAGCTCCCTTTGTCAGCTCCAGCTCTCCATGGGGACATATGAGAGAAGCCTCCCACAAGGATGGTAAAACATCAAAACATGTGTCCCCTGGGCAACGTGCTGGCAGGACTGAAGACTTGACAGGCAGGTTCGAATCCGGGGAGAGCGCGGATGAGCTCCCTCTGTCAGCTCCAGCTCCTCATGCGGGGACATGAGAGAAGCCTCCCACAAGGATAGTAAAAACATCAAAACATCTGGGCGTCCCCTGGGCAACGTCCTTGCAGACAGTCAATTCTCTAAGCCCCTGTGGAGGTTTGAATCTGGGGAGAGGGTGGATGAGCTCCCTCTGTCAGCTCCAGCTCTCCATGCGGGGACATGAGAGAAGCCTCCCACAAAGGTGGTAAAACATCAAAACATCTGGGCGTCCCTGGGCAACGTCCTTGCAGACAGTCAATTCTCTAAGCCCCTGTGGAGGTTTGAATCTGGGGAGAGGGTGGATGAGCTCCCTCTGTCAGCTCCAGCTCTCCATGCGGGGACATGAGAGAAGCCTCCCACAAAGGTGGTAAAACATCAAAACATCTGGGTGTCCTGGGCAACGTCCTTGCAGACAGCCAATTCTCTCACACCAGAAGCAACTTGCAGTTTCTCAAGTCGCTCCTGACACAACAAAAAAAAGTGCAATACTCTAAATTCTTACTTTTAGAGTCACAATAACCTTGCGAATGGCTGGTAATCTTGATGGTATGTATACACCCTGGCATCCTTTCAAAACTATACTGTAGGATATTAGTTTAGCAGGTCATAAATTGTGCTAATTGGCATCTCTTTTTTAAAAAATCCCTGTCCAGGAATGCCTTGAATGCTTCTTTCAGCAAGACATGCTGACATGGAACAACCAGATTAACTGTTCCTGTTGCGGGACAAAGACTGACGCCGCGGTCAAAGCCAGCATCGCCAAGGCGCCCAAGGTGGTCGTCTTCCACCTGAAGAGGTACACCTTTAATTTAAGGAAACTCTTTTGGAAAGGTATTTCTCACAAGGGTTGAACTCTTACACTGCCTAGTAGGGCATCAGAGTTCTGCAGGTGAAATTCCGCTATTCCTTATTCATGCGCAGGAGTGCGCTTGAGTGGCTGGAGGGGATGGAGGGGATGGAAATCAGAGAAGCATCTCCCCATTTCAGGTGGCACAATGGGTTAAACCCTTGTGCTGGCAGGACTGAAGATCGACAGGTCGTAGGTTCGAATCCAGGGAGAGCGTGGATGAGCTCCCTCTGTCAGCTCCAGCTCCCCATGCGGGGACATGAGAGAAGCCTCCCACAAGGATGGAGAACAGAGAAGCATCTCCCCATTTCAGATGGTGCAATGGGTTAAATCCTTGTGCCAACAGGTCGTAGGTTCGAATCCAGGGAGACTGTGGATGAGCTCCCTCTATCAGCTCCAGCTCCCCATGCAGAGACATGAGAGAAGCCTCCCACAAGGATGGAAATCAGAGAAGCATCTCCCCATTTCAAGTTGCACAATGGGTTAAACCCTTGTGCCGGCAGGACTGAAGACTGACAGGTCATAGGTTCGAATCCAGGGAGAGCGTGGATGAGCTCCCTCTGTCAGCTCCAGCTCCCCATGCGGGGACATGAGAAAAGCCTCCCACAAGGATGGAAATCAGAGAAGCATCTCCCCATTTCAGGTGGCGCAATGGGTTAAACCAGGGGTCCTCAAACTTTTTGAACCGGGGGCCAGTTCACTGTCCCTCAGACTGTTGGAGGGCCGGACTATAGTTTACACGGGAATATTGTGAAACATTTGTTTTATATATTGTGAAACATTTATTTCTAATTACAAATAAATGAAAATTTGACTTCAAGCATGTCGTAGCATGGGTAACAGGTTTACTATAACAGCAGGAACCCATGAATATGTTTACTGATCAGCCTATTGGCCAAACTTTTTGGCCAATAGTTTGTGGCAGCCACACAGTTTCTGGATGAGAACTACTACTTTCAAAGTAAGGGCCGCACAATTAAACAGAAAATAACACTTTCTAACCAGGAACAGATTTCTGTTCTACAATTTAATTATGTTTATTTATACACCACTTTTTGTCTCCACAAGGAGACTGTGGGTCCTTCCAGACGTTCTATATCCCAGGATCTGATCCCAGGTTTTCTGCTTTAAACTGGATTATATGAGTCTGCACTGCCAGATAATCTGGGATAAACAGAAAACCTAGGATCAGATCCTGGGATATAGGGCCTGTCTGAAAGGGCCCTTCCAAACAGCCATATAACCCAGAATATCAAGGCAGATAATCCACAATATCTGCTTTGAACTGCATTATCAGAGTCCACATGTAAGCCAGTTAAGTGTGGATTTTATACAGCTGTGTGGAAGGGGCCAAAACAGCTTACATTTCAATACAATTTTAAATCTACAAATATATGAAACGTTACAATAGAATTAAACATTATTACTATTCTTTAAAGCAGGCATGGGTCAGTTTGGCCCTCCTTGTGTTTTGGACTTCAACTCCCACAATTCCTAACAGCCAGTAGTGGGAGCTGAAGTCCAAAACACAAGGAGGGCCCAAGCCGGCCCATGCCTGCTTTAAACATTCAATGGAAAGCTATCAAATCACATTCACAGCTGAATAGGGAAAAGAGACCCTGACATTTGGGAATTGCAGTTCTGAGGATTTAGAGTTCACCAGCCATCAAAGAGCATTCTGAGCTCCTCCAAAATGGATCTGAACCAAACTTGGCATACAGAACTTCCATGACCAACAGAACATATGGGGGGGGGGGGGAGACATTATTATTATTATTATTATTATTATTATTATTATTAGATTCCTACAGTTGGAAGGGACCCCCAAAAGACATCTAGTCCAACCCCCTTTGGCCAGGCAAGAAGATAGAATTACTATATTATTTATTATTATTATTATTATTATTATTATTATTATTATTATTATTATTATTATTAAACTCAGTTGGAAGGGACCCCCAAAGGTCATTTAGTCCAGCCCCTTCTTTCTGCCAGGCAGGAAGATAGCATTAGTATATTATTATTATTATTATTATTATTATTATTATTATTATTATTAACTCATACAATTGGAAGGGACCCCCAAAGGTCATCTAGTCCAGCCCCTTCCTTCTGCCAGGCAGGAAGATAGAATTACTGCAGGAGCAATAACAACAACAACAACAATAGTCTCCTGAAGTAAACTGAAGGGCATTGGACTTGAGTTTTGGAGTTGTGGTTTACCTACATCAGGAGAGCACTGTGAACTCAAACAATGATGGGTCTTTACAATGATGGAGAAAAGAGACAGGCGCGCCTCCCGCTGCCTGCCAACCTTGCAGCCCCAGCCATGGTGCACCACGCCTCATACACCCTGGAGCTCTACAGGCGGAGATGGAGCATCCGGGGGCTGGAAGGGGGGCAGGAAGGCCCTGATCTGCTTGCCTGCCTTCTCGCTCCCTCCATTCAGACCCGGCACTCACAGCGCCGCGCCTCCGCCTCCCTCTTCCTTCCCAGCCCCCGAGCGGGAGAGGAGCAGCAGCCAGGCTGCTATTGGTTCAGCCGCCCCTGCCAGGGGCCGGATAAATGCCCCCGGCGGGCCGGATCCGGCCCCCGGGCCGTACTTTGGGGACCCCTGGAATAAAATATCATATAATGTAATATAGCAGAGCCAGAATCTTCAAAAATATTT